GATGTGCAATACCGGAAATGCCCAGCAGGGGGAACTGAGGAGTGTTTCAGTGGGAAAGTGAACGTTCATCTTTGGTCAAGTTTTGGTTATAACGAAATTATTCTTTATTCGGGGGAAAACAAAAGCTTTCCTCAAATAAAAGTAGAGACACATTATCGTAAAATTTACAATAAATTGTTTTATTATACATTTTTTCCAAAAAGTTACTCAAGTAAATTCTCAACTTCACCAGTTTTCAATAAGTTATTAGCAGTATTGGATAATAAACATCATCAGCTGTTTCATTCGCTCATCCTCCATCTTCTCAGATTGTTCTCCAGAATTTATGAGAAGGAATTGCTGATATGGTAATTGTTGCTTTAGAGCAACATGAGGTCCTCCTTTTACTCTGCAGAGGAGTGTGTGTGTGTGTGTGTGTGTGTGTGTGTGTGTGTGTGTGTGTGTGTGTGTGTGTGTGTGTGTGTGTGTGTGGGCGGAGTGTGTATCACTCAAAGCGTCTCCCTGCAGCGTGTGTATGTGTGTGAACTTGGTTTTTGTCTCACCGTGTTTATGATTCATCCTCAAAGAACCGGAGAGTTGTTGTTCCGTCTCAGGCCGGATTCTGGTCCAGTTGTATTGATGTGAGGAGGAGGATGAGGAGGACGATGAAGATAACGAGCCGCCTTCAGCCCACAGGGACCGACCCGCCTGTGACAGTCAGGCTGCAAGCTCAGCATCAGGAGCGACGCTTTACGTTAAAACTTATTTATTCAATGTAGGAATTTGGTGATGATGGAGACGTTAAAAGATGTTTCTGCTTTTGTTTGAATATAACAGAAACATCATAGATATATTGAAATATTAGTACATTTCCACCAAACGCATATCAGAATTTTGTTTTCTGACATTAATCTGAAATTTTCATTTTTTTTAATTACTTTTTTTACTGTTCAAAACCTGGAATTTGTTTTTTGAGAGGTTTCTGATATTAAGCTAAAATGTCTATTTTGAGTTTCTAGTAGCAATTTTTTTAACTTTCAAGCTTATAACTGTCCTTATTTAGTTCTAGAAAAGTTCTGAGTTTAATCTACAAATTTCTGATGTTTTTGCAAAAAATTTTCAACTTTTGAAACTCTGAAATTTCTGGGGAGGTTTTCTAGAAAACTTCTGAGATTACTTTTTTTATTTTTGCAATATTTTGAGCATTTCCAGCTCAGACATTTCCTGTTTTTCTGGAATTTTCGGGGGTTGTCAAACTCAAACATTTGTGTGTTTTTTTAAAGAAATATTTTGTCTCAAAATGTTTTGGTGTTTTTCTCGACATTTTTGAATTTTCTTGTTTTTAATTTTTTTAAAATGTTTTTTCTATCAAATTTTAAAGCTCTTTGAGGAATTTCAAAATTTCTATCTTAAATCTTTTTGTAGCAAATTTTGGACTTTTCAAGCTCAGAAACGTCCTTAATTTCTTCTAGGAAATTTCTGAGATTAGTCAATTTCAGATTTTTCTGTGAAATATTCAAATTATCAAACTCAGAATTTTCAATGTTTTTCTTATATTTTTCTCTTTTTTTCTTGCAAATTTTTGATTTTTCATACTCAAAAATGTTTTCCAGATCATTTCTGAGATGAATCTCTGAATTTCAGTTTCTTTTTTGCTGCAGAATTTTACTTCCTGTTTTCTTCTATCTGTAACGACCCTGATACGCTGTCATATGACAGAGACCTTTCTTCCCCTCTCTGAGTCATGTTGTAAATGTTTTTCTGCTCCAGGGAGTTTGTTTATTCGCGTTAACGAGGAAAACCTTCTTTAAAAATAAATCCTTCCAGACAAGCCCAGAGGGAAAAGCAGGACTCATGTTGGCTCATCCTTCTATGATTTATTCAGATGCTGTTCCTAAAAACGACAGAGGAAAAGTTTCTCTCCTTTAAAAATACAGTTTCTTTCTTTGTTCTGCTTCTAAGAATTTCAGGGTTAGGGTTAACTACTTTTGCTTTGTTTTATTTTTACTGTCCAGTAACGACAAAGACAACCTCACTTTTACTTTCTGTCTCTGTAATGTATAAATACTTTTATCATCACACTTTAATGCTGTTATTTAAATCAAAAGTGTAGTTTTTAAATGAGTACATACATTACTATTAGATATGGATTTTATTTTAATTCCATGTTTCTCAGCTCTTATTGCTAGAGCTTGTAAAATAAAACTAACTCCCCACACGGTGATGGCACCATCATGCTGCGGGAATGTTTCTCTTCTGCAAGGAGGAGGAAGTTGGTCAGAGTTGAAGATGGAGGCTGCAAAAATAATAGCACTGAGGAGAATAACCCTCAACATATCACTATAGGACATTTTCATATGTTGGGAATGGTCTAGTCAAAGTCCAGACCTTAATCCAACTGGCACACCTTTCAAATTTATCTTCACTGGGGCTCTCCTTCCGGTTTATCTGTGCTTGAGCTTTTTCTTTTGGAAGAGAGAAAAATATTTCAGCCTCTACATGAGTCTGTTTGCAGTGGAAGGTGTCGAATAAAAATGCACACCTCACTTTTAAGATTTTAACTTGTAAAATGAGAAAATTCATTTCACAGTTCAGGGCAACTTTAGCTGCAAATCTTTGATGTTCTGCTGATGTCAAAACAATTATTTTGGAATTGCTTCTATGAATGAAATAACTAAATTAAATTAAAATAACATGTTTTTACAGAAGAGAAACACATTCAAATGAGATTTTTATTTTTATAAACTCCGATGAACAAGTGAGCCGCATATTGTCCAGAGAAAGACATCATCCTCCGACTACTTCCTGTCGTCTTCTTCGTCGGTTTGGCCAGTGGTAACATCCGGCTGTTGATCATGTGACTCGTGTGATGCGGGAAAAGAAACGTTTCCATTACGGTTTTATGAAATTCATCAAACTGCGGCTGGTGTTCTGACTCTGCTACCCAACAAGCCGCCCTGGTGGCGATGCGCATGCGCACACCGATGTTACGTCACAGGTTGCTTACAGGGGTTTCGTTTTGTCTGTTTTATACCTCATCCCAGCAGAATCAAATTGATTTTTTTTTTCGTCTCAAAATCAGCGTGTTTGCTATTAATTTGTAATTTCAGTTTCTGCAAGAAAACCTCAAAATAAATGTCAGTAAAATACAACGCAGCTCGCTGTTGTTGCAAAGTGACAACATGGATTCAGATTCTTGGTTGTTTTTCAACGTCTGGTTTTGCTGCTCTGTCTGCGTCGCCCTTTGTTATTATTATTATTACAATTATTATCATCATCATTGCTATCCTCGCTGCAGAGAGAGGGATCCACGGAGGGCGCGCGCTCTTGTTGTGAAGGAAGCCTGTTTCCATGGCAACCGGGAGGCCGATTCGCCTGGTTTCTGCTCAGGCTGCAGGGTTGATCCCAGCAGCATCAGCAGCAGCAGCAGCAGCAGCAGCAGCAGCATCAGCAGCAGCAGCAGCAGCAGCAGCAGCAGCAGCACCAGCAGCATCATCATCATCAGCAGCAGCAGCAGCAGCATCAGCAGCATCAGCAGCAGCAGCAGCAGCATCAGCAGCAGCATCAGCAGCATCAGCAGCAGCAGCAGCAGCAGCAGCAGCAGCAGCAGCAGCAGCAGCAGCAGCAGCAGCATCATCATCATCATCAGCAGCAGCAGCATCAGCAGCAGCAGCAGCAGCAGCATCATCATCATCAGCAGCAGCAGCAGCAGCAGCAGCAGCAGCAGCAGCATCATCATCATCAGCAGCAGCAGCAGCAGCAGCAGCTTCTTCTGCAGAAACAGGCGGACACGGGGCTGCAGGAGGAGACGCTCGCTACCTGCGCTGCGTTCATCCTGTGTTTGGGTTCGTCTCGTCCCTCAGGACCAGACCGAGCGTTTAAGGAGACGGGAAAGGAAGATGGCGCCCGTGTTTGGTGTGATTAATGAGGTTCGGTTCCTTTCTGGGGGTTTTATACCCAGGAGGGATAATTAATGATGGCACCATCATTAATTATGATTGAATTTTATCACCGCCCTACTCAAAAACACTGAGATAAAAATATGCATTAAATAAAACAAAACAAAAAAATTGTCTTATGTGATCATTGTTTATGTATTTTTTTAACATATATCTTTTACGCTTTCTTTGATTTCATAAATTATTATTCATTAGTATTGAGGACCAATAGTGCCAAAATTCTCCAAATGAGAATTTAAAATGAAAGAATTTTTAAAAAGCATTTAATTTCCCTTTAACAAAGTATTTTTAAATTGAATTTGAATTCAAGTTGGTAAATACATCTATGTGTGATAATTTAAAGGAAAGTGAAATTCACAAAAATAAAGACAATCATTTCAGAATCCTATACTGCAGTGTATTATTATTTTATTTAATTCTGTGTAACATAACATGTCTAAACAAATGGGTGGGGCTAAAACTGCTAAAGGCAAAATGATTGGTCAGTTGAGCTCCTGTCTTTAAGTCCATTAAATAACAGGAGCCATTTATATTCATAAAAATATTGTATGAAATAATTTGTACATATGTTTATCTAATCAGCTGTTGTCCAGTTGTCAAAATCATGTCAACTATACAGTTGCACATAAATATTCACTTATTTGCAATAATTTAACATTATGTTATTTATCAGATTTTGGCACTTTTGGTTCTCTGTACTCCACAGTGTGACTGTTTTTTCAATACCTTAAGCAGAAGCTGAAACAATTAGCTGATTTTTTTAAAAATCGTTTCTGTCCTCTGCTGGGTTTGGACCGAATTTCACCAGAACCTCCCGGATCTGCAGAAGCTGCTCGGACTGAATGAAGCGGATCCCGCGGGAACGCGCACAAGCAGCCGATCGCCGCGGCGCGCATCGCACAGCTGTCAGCACCAAGGACAGCACCGGCACCGGCTCCGCTCCAGACGCGGTTCGGGAGTCCAAGCGGGCTGGGACGCGGTTCGACGGAAGCAATTGCGATGATTTAGCTCGCCTTTTTTTTAAGAAAATGATTTAATTTAATTTTTTGTTGTTTAGAGAAACAGAGAAAAAAGATGCATTTTGCAGGTTTCCGCTCCTGATCATGCACATTCCTCCGCATTTCGCATAGCCAGCGCTTCTCTCCGGGCTTCCGTTTTCCTTCTCAGGGGCTCCCATCCTCCCCCCGCCCCGGCCGGTGCCGTCGCCCACCTGGATCGCGCCCGCCTCGCTCAGTCCGAGCCGAGCCGAGCCGCCACCGCGGAGAAAAGGGACCGGGCTGCGCTGTGCGGGTTGGCGCTCCACGCGATGCGTCTGTTTCTGCTGGCGGTGCTCCTCTCGTGCTCCTGCGCGCGGGCCGGCTGCGAGCCCAAGATCGTGAACATCGGGGCCGTCCTGAGCCAGAAGAGGTACGAGCAGGTGTTCAAGGATGCCGTGAACCAGGCCAACCAGGTGTACGGCCGGGACAAGTTCAAGCTCAACGCCATTTCCGTCACGCACAAGGCCAACGCGATCCAGATGGCTCTGTCGGTGTGCGAGGACCTGATCCACAGCCAGGTAACCGAACCGCCGCGTCCCGCACCGCGGAACCGCGTCGGAGCAGAGAGTTCTGCTGCGCTGGAGCAGAACTCTCTGCATCACACGATCAAAGCTTTTTGTTTTTTCATTTTTTCAAATCTACGGAAGACGATAAGGGTCACTGAAAGAGGAAAGATTGTCAGATTTTATTATTATTATTAAAAAAAATTCTAAATTTTGACATTTTTCTCAAAAAAATTTTTTCTCTCAATTCTGAATTACATCTCAAAATTCTGACATTTTTTCTTCATAATTTGGAGATTAATCTCAGAATTCTTTTTTTCTCACAAGTCAGAATTTAATCTGAGAATTCTGACTACAATCTCAAAATTCAAACTCTATCTCAGATTTCAAACTTTTTTCTCATTATTCTGACTTTAGTCTCATAATTTGTACTTTTTTGCAAAATTGTGATGTTTTTCTTAAAATTCTGACTTATTCTCAGAATTTTGACTTTGATCAATTTAACCCCTGAATTCTCATTGTAAACTCAAAATTATAACTTTTTCCACCTCAAATTCTGAATTCTCAAAATTCAGGTATTTTTGTCAGAATTCTGACTTTAACCTTAAAATTCAAACTTTTTTTGCTCATAATTCAGACCGTAATCTCAGAATTTTACTTCTTTTCACTGAATTCTGACTTTAATCTCAAAATTGTAGCTTTAATCAGAATTCATACTTTTTTCACAGAATTCTGACGTTTGATCTCAGCAGATTAAAATTGGAATTCTGAAATTAAATTTCAGAGTTTGCACCTCAAACAAGTTTCCTGATCTTGTTTCTAGTGCAAATATCTTAGTACTTCAAATGAGACAAAATAGAATATTGTTTGAAGTCAATAATTCTTGAGAAAGATATTTTTGAGTCGACTGACGTCTCCTGTGTAAGAAATAAATTTATTGGTGTTATTTAGTATTGAAACCAGCAGGAAAGGTGGAGATATATTATGCGTTATGATTCTGTAACCCTTTGTGAATTAAAGTATTGACATCTGCTGACTTAATAACAATAATAAATCCATTGAAATGCAACATAAAAATCAGACCTGACTGATTTGGGTTTAGCTTCAAAACATGAATATTCCTCCAAGCATTTAAAAACTGATGTTTCTTTCCACCTTGTGTTGCTCCAACATGACGAACTCCCCACAGATCTTTCAGCGCCGCTGTTCAAAAATAGCCTTTGGTTTGAGGCAGATTTCAGACGATGGGACCGCTCCACTTTTCCGGGCGCACAGCTGCAGATCTGCTGAAGTGCACAGGAGCAGGTCAGGGGTGAAAATCGGCAGAACATTAAAACACGTCTGCAAGAAGAGGCTGCAACTGCAGGCAGGGGATAGTTCAAGGCAAACCGCAGCTCAACTGAGCAAGACGATGCAGGGACTTCAAACTCATTCTCATGTTGGGCCGTATCCAGATTATGAATCTGCTGCTTGAAACGAACCTCTATCACAAGAATTTATAGATGACAATCATAAATGATCACAAAGTAGTGAAATGAAGAAGATGAGTGAGTCCTGAAACAACATCAGAATAAACTTTTGATCTCAATTGATTCAAGTCAGAAATCTGAGAAAAAAGTGAAAATTCTACGGTTAAAGTTAGAATTTTGAGAAAAGTCCAAATTCTGCTAAAAAATGTCAGATTTATTAGATTAAAGTTAAATTTTTTTTTACAACATTTGACTTCTAATATTAAAGTTAGAATTTTGAGAAAAGTCAAAATTATGAAAAAAAAGTCACAATTTTATTTCATATTTTTATTTCTTGACCCGAATCTTCTCCCATACATACTCTATTTCGTTTGCACTGTTATTACCTCCAAACTGTAGTGGCGCAAAAGTGAGAAAACGCCTTAAAAATGCTTGAATTTGACTGTGAACCCTGGAAGAAGCGCCGGTGTTATGTCACAGCGACCCGAGGCGTGAATCTCTCTCCCACACACATAATTGGGCTTTATACAAAAACCCAGAAAGAACACCCACAGGTTCAAATCTGCTTTCTCATCCTCTGCTTGCTGTATCGCCTCAAACTGATGCACTCCTGTAGGATAACACAATCCAATCCGATCACATTTACACCTGAAACACCAAACAGTCCTGATGTGCAAATGAGAGCGAACCGTCAGAAGTGGACAGGAAGTCTGTGGGGAGTTTAATCAGATGAGATTAGCTTGTAGGACGCGGTGGCAGATGGAGGAGAAGAGCTGCCCGCGAGCATTCCTCGGAAGGCAGGACCTCATTTCTGACCCAGCCATACGGGATGCTCTCATCCAATAATCCGGGCCTCAGCATCTCTGCCAGCCTGATCCCCTGTCCCTCCCCGCTCGCCTCCCAGGCGTCTCATCCGCTCTGCTTTTCAAACCCAAACACCCTCAACGACGAACAAAAGACTTATTCCTCCTGCGTGACATTCTTCCAGACGAAAATGTTATTTTTAACCTTTTTATGCAACTTTTTAGAGCAGAGAGGAGTCTGGTTTAATTTATCTGCAGGATGTGATGTCTAAATTAGATGCTAATGGGAAAAAATCTTCGAGTTTATCATTAATAATCATAAAACACAGTTTGGATTTTACTGTTGATTCAGAACCAAATTATTTTAACTGATGCTAAAAGAAAAATGAGATCAAAATAATTTCCATTATTCCTAGCTCCCATGAGGCTTTGCGTGAACAATGGGCGCTACTTCCGCCGCAAACCGGAAACGGCTTCAGTTTACATGCTAGCAAGGCGCTACCCGGCTCCCGTCAGATGTTTTAGAACACCAGCTGCCACAGCTCAAACGGACAGATACTGAAGGTGAGCAGGAGGATGAAGGATGAATGTTACCGTTTACAGCCGGACGTCTGCGCATGCGCAAAACGCCAGGAGCCATCCGAAAGCCACGCGGCGCCCGGAGAAGCGGAACAACTCCGTTAACAAAATAAAAGCTGGACACGGAGAGATTATACACTTAGTGCGGTGAGCCACAGGAAATGGGAAATAACAGGAAACCAGTTGAAGAACAACTCAAACCCGCCTCATGTTCTTTTTTTCTGGCTCTCAGTATGCTAAGCTACATGCAGACTTGTTGCCATAGCAAATGACAGAAACTCCACACACACGCAAAAAAAAAAAAAAAAAAAAAACACTTAAAACATTTTCACACAGATAACAGAATATTCTGTCCATTACAGATTCATGTCTTTAGGTTTGATGTTTACTTTGTGATTATTGATTAGTGGTCGCTGTGGTAGATTAGCTGCAGCCGCTAGTAGCTAACCTACCAGTGGAGTGGTTGGTTAGCTAACCTACCTCTAGAGTGGTTGGTTAGCTAACCTACCAGTGGAGTGGTTGGTTAGCTAATTGAAACACCTGCTTTACTGATGATCTGTTACAGTTGGTTGGTGGGTCACCTTTCTTTTTTTTTTCTCGTGGATGAACGGAAACACACAAAATGTTATGGTTGTCATAGTCAAGCTAGCATAGCTGAAACACTTCCCTCTCCCTTGCTATTGTTTTAAATCAACTTTATCTTAAAGTTAGTTTAAGATAAATGAACTTTAATATTTTGTTTTGTTAATATTTTAAATGTATTATATATTTCTGCACAAAATGTGTTCATTTGTTTTTAGTGATTCGACCATTTGTAGAAGGTTCATTCAAAGCAGGTTGGAAAGTCAGAAAAGTTTTGTCAAAAGAAAAGAAAACTGTCACACGTATATTTAAGAGTTAGTGCGTTATGTTGACAAGTTGACGGCTAAAACCACTGGGAGTCATCGTCGGCAAGTATCTTATTGCCCTCCAGGATGGAGATGGTCACAGTTATGAGACACATGTTGGCTGAAATGTTCTTCCATAGAATTAAAACAGAAATATATTTTGTTATTTTTTACACACCAAACACTATGGCGGAAGTTCAGAACAGTTATAAGGACTAGATGAAAAATAATGGCTTATAAAAGTTTCAAAATATATAGTTAAAAAAAAAATCATAATTAAATATTTACCTTTTATTTAATATTTAATGAATTATGCTTTTAGGGATTTGTGTCTTTTGTTTTCAAATTTAAATAGTTAATGATGTAAAATATCAATTGAATAATTAAATAAGTGAGCTATTTATGAACATTTTAGCAACAAGGCAGTTCAAAGAGTTTCACATCATAAATAACAAAATACATGAAACAAGTAACCCGACAAAATGTCGGGTTACCGACACCCGACAAAATGTATCATTTTGTCGGGTGCCATCAGCAAAATCATAAATACAAATAAAATATGTTGGTCAATGTTCCATTTAATAAGCTTCAAAAGCTACTCTAAGCTGATTTGCAGTTTTCTGGGAATCTGTTCCACATTTACGACCCTGTTGTATCTCCATACAAAATTAAATATGTCGGTAAATAAATAAATGTCAGTGTTGCTGTGATTTGTTAGCGTTTTCATCCTTCTTTTCCTGCGTTTCTCTGCAGGTTTACGCCATCCTGGTGAGTCACCCTCCTCAGTCCAGCGACCATCTCACCCCGACGCCCGTCTCCTACACAGCCGGCTTCTACCGCATCCCGGTGGTGGGGCTCACCACGCGCATGTCCATCTACTCCGACAAGGTGAGTGACAGATGAAAACGGCTGGAGAGTCGGCACTCAGATGAATTAAGGAGTTCCCCAGGGACGCCTTCAAGAGCTTCCTGGATTAAACATCCCATCAGCGTCCATTAGGGGAGCTGTGATTAAACGGCTTTCCAGATGAAAGTCGACTGTTTGCTATTAATATTGCCCCTGATGTTAAAAAAAAAAAAAGCTATGACGCACAAACCGCAGTAATGAACTCTTAAAATCAATCAAACGAGTTAAAAAAAAAGCAGAGGCATTAAAAATTTAACGCAGGCCTTGGAAGATCTCCAATAACATTGGAGGGAGGATTTCACAGCACTGGAAACATTTAAAGATTTTATTTAAATAATATGGTTTTACTTAAGTGGAAAAACAGCCTGGAGTAAACTTTGAAACGTAATTCATTTTAAAAGTAATGAGCAGCTTCTTTTTTGATTCATAATGAGAGTTTGCAGATGGAAAATACTCCTGCTGTTGCAGGGATTGAAATGAATTATTATGTTTCCCCTTTCTCATTGGTCTGATTCCCTCTCAGAGCATCCACCTGTCCTTCCTGCGGACGGTCCCGCCGTACTCCCACCAAGCCCACGTCTGGTTCGACCTGATGCGCGAGTTCAACTGGAACCACATCATCCTGATCGTCAGCGACGACCACGAGGGCCGGGCGGCTCAGAAGAGGCTGGAGACGCTGCTGGAGGAGCGAGAGACGAAGGTGAGACGCCGGGGCGCTGCGGCCCGCCCTCATCTCCTCCCTCCACCTTTAGGGAGTGTCTGAGCATGAGTGTGTGCGAGTGTTTTTTCAGAGATCTTCCGTGTACCTAGCTGTTTTCCTCTCTGTTGTCTGAGCACATCTCTTCTCACCATTGTGTAAACATTGGCTAACATTCCCAGAGACATCAACAGCGTCTAATGTGGTCTAATCTGACAGAAGTTTGTATGTTTATTTGCTCATCTTCACGTTGCTTTTCGCCACAGTCCAAATTATCTTGTGTCTATCCACACTGGGAGCCAAATAGTGGACTTTAACATGGGGTTCTGCAAACCATCGCAGAAAAACAAAATGGTTCCAGGTTGTTTTACTGTAGAAACTTTGGTTTTGTCACGTTACAGATGCAAATTTTAATGTTTTTTATTTAGCAAAAGGAATATAGTATTGATTTTTTGAATATAGTATTGATTTTCAATACTATATCAATACTATATTTTACTATTAAAATTTCAAAATTTTACATAAGAAAGTAATTAAAACACGTTGCACATCATCCTGAAAATCCTCTCTGGAAAATAAGGCAGTGGCAGCATCATGCTGTGGGGATGATTTCCTACAGAAAAGACAAGAAACTGTTTAGAGCTTATAAAAATTTTTTATAGGGAAATTGCACAAGAAGCTGCAAATATTATAGAATAAAAATTATAAACATTCAGACAGAGAATAAATATTTTTTTTATTGTTGGGTTAACATAATATTTTAATAAAAAATCCTTGAAAAAGTAATTTTAAATTAAATTAAATCACTTATGCAGCACTTTTGAACCCAAAAAGGTTCTCAAATACACCTAACACCACTACTAACTTAGTAAATTAAGCTTAATTTTGTTTATTTTATATTTAACACATTTTCATCTTTGTTTGAACCTACATAAATTAGTGCTGTTGTTACTGAATTTATTTATGTTATTAAGGTTATTTTACTGATTACTTGGTTTCAAAAGTAGTTAGATTACAAGTTACTTTATTAGTTACAAAACTGTTTTCTGACAAAAGAATTAAATAAAAATGAATCTTTGTTGACTTCACGTAGCATCAATTTGTGCTTTTATTTAAAGAAAAACACAATTTTGCCACCAAATGTTTGTGTTGGGAAACACCCTGCATTAGTCACAGCTTTATGCTTCTCTACCTGCTGGAAATTTCTCTTTTATTTTGTTTTTTTAAGTTAAATAAAACTGTCCACCAGCACAGAAAGTAAAATGAACCTGAATGTTTTCATGTTTAGCTGAAACAAGCTGAAAATGCATTGTTTTGTTTGTTGTTTTGTGTTGTTGAGGCAGCTAATAAATCCTTTTGCAAAGAAAAATGACAAAAATAAACTTGAATAAGTTATTTTAATAAAGCTGAATCGATTAATTGTTATTATATTGAAATAATCGTCAACGTATTTAGTAATCAATTAATCGTCAATTGGAGCGTACTTACTAAAAAATGTCATTTCTTGAAAAGCACTTTGTGTTTATAGCGTAATTAAGCCAAACTGCTACAATTTTTACACATTTTGCATTTAAAATAAAAACATTTTATTGTAAATTTGTTTTACTCAAAACTCAAGTGAATTTTAGCTTCACCCATTTCAGATGCACTAAAGAAATTATATATTTTTATATTTTAGGTAACAAAAGGTTTCTTTTATTATTAAAAAAGGAACTGAATGATTTGTTTTCTTGCATCTTTTAATGCAAATAATCAATCCAAAGTAAAACTCATTCAATTTTGCATTTGTAACATGAGAAAAAGTAAAAGTGGATCATGTTCCTAAATTTTGCTGTGAGCTGAATTCAGAGAACATAACAAAGTTTCTCTGTTAGGGAGAAACGATTAGAATAAAACCTGAACTCGATCCATTTAACAGGAAGTAATCCCTGTGGGACGGGTTTTCGCTCCTCTCGGGGCGACTTTCTGCTGTAATTGTGTGCTGGAGTGAAATGAGTCCCGATTCGGAGGCTTAATTAAATCAGAAGCTGCAGAGATTCAGAATATGACACATCCACCCGAGGCTGTTTGCCCAAGTTGAAGCGAAAGCTGCTCCGATTGCTGGGATCAGCGCGAGCCGCCAACAGGAAAACACTTCAGAAAAAATAAAATAAAACCACGCCGCCATTTACTCAGCTCAAATCGTTTAGCCCAGAGTCACATCCTGCATTTACGGAGAAAAACCAGACAATTAAAAGCTTGTGATGAGGATCCAGGAAGCTCCTTTCATGCACGGTGCAGTTTGGATGCCAAAATGAGCCCATCTGTGCTCTCCATCTAAAGCCGCCGCTCGTTTTCCTGTGAGACTCCAGTCAGGAGTGTATATTTAGACACAACTGCAGCTCCAGTTTAACGTTTTATTGCTGCTGTGGAAATGCATCCGAGTTCAGGAAGCGATTATTGTACCGAAAGCTCAGAGTGGAAAGGATGAAGCCTGAAAATCCACGCAAATAGACAAAAACAGCGAGAAAATTGATTATGGGACTAATTGTGTGTCTACTGTACGCGCCCCAGGGTCCAATTCTGTCAATAAACTAATGAAACTGGCAGGTTGTCTTTCTAATTCCCACACATCCTGCAGCTAAAGCCACATATGTACATACACCAAATAAAACTGACAAAACCTTTGACCCAAGTCATGCATTACAACAGACAGTCAACTACGGAGCTAAACTGGTGCCACAAACTTTGTTCAAAAAAATAAAAGTAAGATTTGAAACTGAAAAAACAAAACTCAAACCTTGACTCTGAAAAGTAGTTTTGAACATTTTCTTTTCCTGTTTCAAATCTTTACTTTCATTTTAATTTTTTTGTTTAAATTTTGAATCTTTTATTTTTAATTTCACAATCATTTTTCAGTTTCAACTCTTTTATTTCCCTGTTTCAAATACTTTTTTTTTTTTTTACTTTTTTAGCTCTAAAGTTGTCCCATTTTTCTAAAAACATAGAAATGTCTGAGATTTGTCTCACAATTTTTAACTTCTTCTATTCAGTAATTTTCAAGTTCTCTGAAAAAAAATTAAAGATAAATCCAAAAATTTCTGAGAATTTTCTTACAAATTTTCAACCTCAGAAATTTCCATATGTAATCTGAGTTTTTTGGCAAAAATGTACTCCTATCTAAAATGTAATAATGCTGCAGAATAAAATATTCCTTTCATATGAGGATTGGTTTGTCAATAACTCTAAAGGAGTCTGCACACTTTTCAAAAACAGAGTGCTTTGGATTTATAAAAGTAGATCTTTGTTTCTTTCCAAAACGAAGTGATGCAACATCGTGTAAAAGCAGAAAACAGGCCGGGTCGAGAGCTGCAGGCGAGCTGGAGAAGCTGTAAATTATTAAAGCACAAACTGCTGAGAAAAGACACAAAGTGCCAGGTTTATTCTGCCTTTTAAACATCCACCATGTAATTTTGATGCGGCGCTACTTAAGGAGAAAAGAAAAGAGCGTAAAGAACGTAAAGAGGGATTTATTTTGGTGGCTGTGATGAACAGAAATGAGCAGAAAAAATGCTCAGCTTGTTTGTTAAAACCAGTAAAATACCAGTTGAAGACATTTCTCAAGAGTAAAAAAGTATTTGGTTAAAATCCTAACTGATCAAAACATTAATCCTTTAATATTTACAAATGAAGTTATGCAGTTATTTTGGTATTTTTAACTTCAAAACTATTTTCATTAATATTAAGGATTTTGTGCATGTTTCTGAAAAGCTATTTGTAAGTTAGTTTTGTCTCATTTCTCGACCAGAAACACTCGGTGAGATTCTGTTATTTTGCAGCGTGGGCGCTGCAGCACCGTTACCTAGCAACGTCAGTCAGCCCGGGCCCGTTACCGAGCAACGTCAGTCAGCCCGGGTCCGTTACCGAGCAACGCCGATGGAACTCCAGCAGTTTGGTCAGCCGCCAAAATGGCTGCTGGCGAAAACCCGAGTTCTGTGGCTGACTGCAGAAATGTGATGAATGTACTTTATATACTTTTTGTTGAGTACTTGTATTGTTTAAAAAAAATTAAAGAAAAGCTGAACTATTACTTGTTAGTTAGTTTTGTCTTATGTCAAGACATTTGGCCAAAAATACTCGGTAAGATTTTTTGTTTTTTTGACTGTAACTTGACAATCGGGAAGTTTTTGAAACGGCCGATTGTCTTTTTTCAGTTCTTGAACTGTTTTTAGAGACAGATGAGACCCAAGTGAAAACATTTAAATAAGATTTAAAATTGTCCCGTTTGCGTCAGGATCTCGTCTTAAGCACAATAAACCTTCCTGCTCTTTATGTCCCATTACATTTCAGTCATTTCTGATTCCTGTGCCGATGTCGTTTGCGAGCCCCAGTGTTAAAGCTCCCAATTTGAAGCAGAAAAGTGGAGATTTGTTGGAATGCTTTACTGCCCTCCATTTTCAACTGTTTATAATATTTTTCTGTGTCTGCATATTTTCTCTGTGCACATTACTCATCAGAATAAAAAAAGGAACTATGAAAACCTCGACCAACTGTCCTATGACAACAAGCGAGGACCTAAGGTATATTTGCATGGTCAATGCACGCCGCCCACCAACTTTCCAAACGTAGCAACTAGAAACCAGCCCAAACCAGTCACCAGCCGACCCAGAAATGCCCCCCTCTCTCTTGGTAGCACGTCTTTTCTTTGATTTTTTACTTTCAGACATTTCCATATAATAAAAAAAGAATGATTTTGGTATGAAAAAAAAACAGATTTTTTCGGTTGTTCCAAAAAAATGAAGAGAACAGAGCCCCGCTTTTCTCATTTTAATTTTTTTTCCGTCAATGAAGGATGCATGTTTTTAAAAAACACACTCACACACCCACACACACACACACCCACACACACCTACATGCAAAAAAAAAAGAAAACAGTTTGCAAGCTCATTCCTTTGTGGAGAACCGGTAGTTTGGGACTCAGACTTCCCAGATGCTACTTCCTCCCTGTCCGTAGCACCTCCCTGGTTTCAGCAGTTTTGATTTTTTTAATTTGATTTATTTATCTTTTGGGAGGGAGAACGACCCCTCACTCCCCTCCTCACCTGTTTTTAGTTACTGGTTGCATTGACCTTCTTCTCCCCCTCTACCTAACATATGCACGTTCTTCTTTGGAGCCTTGATATAACCCTCAGTTTGCATGCAGACAAATGCAAAAGTTTTTTTCCCTTCGAGCTTTTTCTTTTTTTAGTTCAGCCGGTTCCCCTGGATCGCTTTCCTTTTTAATCTCTGTCTCTCGTTTTTTCAAACCAAATTGGCCACGCTCGTTCCACGCAGGTAAAGCGGCAGCATGGTGTCTGTGCTCGGGAAAAGTAGCTGGCTTGACCTTTCTTCTGCCCCAACCGCAGGCAGAGAAAGTCCTACAGTTCAGTCAGGAGACAAACTTAACCGCGCTGCTGCTGGAGGCTAAAGAGCTGGAGGCCCGAGTCATCATCCTGTCCGCCAGGTGAGGCGACCTTTCACCTTTCTGCCTGGTTCAGCAGGGATCAATATGCAAAGTCTTTAATGTAGACTCACACTTTGTAGAACCACAGAGTTTGGTAGCAATTAGTTGCATTTACTTGAGTAACTGATTGAAATAATTTACTTTCAGGAGTATTTTTACTTCAATCTACTTGGAGAAATTTTATGATGAAGTATTTCTGCTCTTACTTGAGTAAAATTTCTGGGTTTTCTTCCCACTGAATGAAAAACAATTCACCATAAACAGACACACACCTGGAGTTTCTGTTAAAGTTTCATAAGGTTTTTATTGAAATAATCTGATTTGGAAACATTTTATTTGGCCTGATTTTGTTATTTTTTGTTACTTATTTGAATTTTTGTCATTTTTGTTCTTAAAATACCAAAGTTTCCACTGAACTTTACATTTTTCTCCATCTGATTATGTAATTTTTAAATATTAAATGACTGATAATTACAGTAGACTTTTACCAAGCACCTTTTTACTCTTTCTTGAGTAATTTCTTGGACCTCACTGTCTGGCCAGCAGAAATGTCCTCAGTGACAGAATCAGTGCACTGATAATCCACCTCCTTTGCTTTTGCTACTCCTCTTTAAATCTCAGAGATGTGTTTGTCTCCTTTTCAGCTCCTCTGGGATTTGTCGTAGTTCAGGTGATATTCCAGCTTTTGCGATGCTAATCAGCTGCTTCCGGTTGTAAAAACAAGCGTGTTGCCATGGCTACGCACCGTAAAAACCAAAAAAGAGAGCAGAAAACGCTTCCAGCTGCACAGCGTCCAAAAACCAGACAAATGTGGCCACAGAAAACGAGTTGCGCAAAAGCTACCAGCAGGATAGCTTCATGTAATCTGGCATTTTACATATCGAGGGTTTAAAGTCCCAACAAACGGAAGCAGTATAATATTTTAACTATGTTTTTTTTTTTTTTTTATCTCCAGCGAGGACGATGCTGCCGCCGTGTACAAGGCGGCCCGCTTCCTCAACATGACGGGCTCGGGCTACGTGTGGCTGGTGGGGGAGCGGGAGATGTCCGGTAAAGCTCTGAGCGAGGCGCCAGATGGTACGTCCATCCAGAAACCCGCGCTGACGTTTGGTCCAGAATCAAACAGAAACACATAACGGATCCCAGAGATTAGCTAGTAATCGTCAGATAAATCCCAGAGCACCTGCATGTTGTGCTAAACTCTTCAACCTTCTGTATTTAAGAATTAAACAGACTCAAGCACTCAGAACTGAAGTAATTTAGTTGTTTTTTGTTTGTTTAAAGGTGACCTGTTATATAAAAGTACAAAAACATTCAAAAGGGAAATTTGCAAAATGTTTTATTTTAATTGGTGTACGAACTATAATAACAATCTTTCCATGTGTCATTTAGTTGTATTATTCATTGTAATTTTATAAATATCTGTATATTTTATGATGCCAGTCTGATGTTCTTGGGGGCCCCCTGGTGGTCTGGGGCTCCGATGTGGATTTCTTTGCTCCTGTTGGTGACGGTTTATGTTTCCGCCGGGTCTCAGGTCTGATCGCCCTCCAGCTCATCAATGGGAAGAACGAATCGGCCCACATCACCGACGCCGTGGCAGTGGTGGCCCAGTCCATCCAGGAGCTGTTTGAGAAGGAGAACATCACAGAACCACCCAAAGGCTGCGTGGGCAACACCAACATCTGGAAGACAGGGCCCCTTTTTAAACGGTGCGCTCGCCACGAATCACTCAACATTCACACATTTTCCTCTGATCTTAGATCTTCACCAATCACTGCAACTCATTTCAAATGAAAACAGATATTTACTCTTCATGGTTTGATCATTTCTTCAGGCCAGCTGACTTGGTTTGTGTTTTCCATGCTTTTTTTCTGAATATATGCCTGAAAATGCATAGAATGTCCTTTACCATCAGATTTAGCCGAGTTCAGGTTCTGCATCCTGCAGATGGAGATGACCTAGTTACACAAGGCTTCGCTGCTGCGTCACTGAAGAAAACGCAGTTTTTATAAAAACTGATGCAGCAGCAAACAGTCGAGTCTGTTTTCTGTCATGAAAATCACGTCTTCCACTAGAAATGTGTCGATTTGCTGCCGGATGGAAATAATTCATATGAAATCAAACTTTTAAACTGCATCTCTGCATGAATCCATTTGCTTTTTAGCACAGATATATATTATGAAAAAGTATTAAGGTCACGCTAAAAATCGTTGAAAAATGTTTGAGAATAAAGTCATAAAAGTACAAGAATACAGTTTAAGTATTGAGAGAATAATAATCATAATGACAAAATAGTTTGACTTAATTCTTATAATGTCACACCTATTCTCAAAATTTGATTTGATTTTAACTTTGTTGTTGTAATTTCATAACTTTATTCTTTTAATATGACTTTTTCTCAAAATGTGACTTTATTCTCATAATTTTGACTTTATTCTAATTTTATTTTTTACTTAATCTTTTATTTCTTATTTCTCTTAGAATGGCCTTCCTGTAAGTAATTGTGATACAATCACATATTAATATATATATATATAATTTTTTTTTTTTTGCCACAGGGTGCTGATGTCGTCCAAATATCCGGAGGGTCTGACGGGACGCGTCGAGTTCAACGACGACGGCGACAGGAAATACGCCCACTACACCATCCTCAACTACCAGAAGTCTCGCCTGGTCCAAGTCGGCATTTACAACGGCACGCAGGTAACGATTTAAAAACTCAAATTAGGATTTTGTTTCTTTTTGCTGGTTATTTGGTCTGAATTAAATCCAGCCTGGATACATAATCAGTTTGAGCATCACATTGTCATCAGCAAATGGGATATTCAGATGTGTTTTTCACTACAGTGGGCTACAAATCCATATAAACTAGGGCTGAAACCATTAATCGTGATTAATCTAGTATTGAAATAATCTTAAACTAATTGATAAATCACTAACTTGGGTAAACAGATTCATAAAAAGATCATTTTATGAAAGAATAATGTATTCAGAGCAAAAATTTAATTTATTTATTTTTTTATGTAAAAAACCTTTGTACACAGAAATCTTCAAGACAAAGTTTTAGCTTCTCCTGGTTAAAATCTATAAAATAAATCTATTGAGCGTCTTCTGCTAATGTTTTATCTTATAATCAGTTATCCGATTACTAAAGTGTTCAGCAGTGCTTACAAGATGTTAGTTTTGGTCCTTGTGTCGCCTGGAAGCATTTAAAAGAAGAAAACCCGCCGGAACGGAGCGGATCGGGTTGAATGATGGTGAGCTGCTTCAGGTGTAACAGAGCAGAGGTGAAAACAGAACCGCTGAGCTGCGGCGGAGCCACGCTGACTCATCAGTGATGCTCACCCGCAGTGTTTGGAGTCTCATCAGCAGCATGCCTTCGGTCAGCGCTAACGCGGCCGCGTGTCCGGCGTCGCTGCAGGTGGTGATGAACAATCAGCGCAAGATCATCTGGCCTGGAGGGGAGACGGAGAAACCGCAGGGCTTCCAGATGTCGACCCGATTAAAGGTGGGCGGACTCGGACGCGGCTGCCACACACACACATCCCAACTTGTATTATTTCAAGTTATTTTCAATAGAAATGAATGAAAAATATTTGGTAAGATTGTTTCTTTGCAGTGAGAGATTTAATATATTAAATCCCAATGTTTTTCCTTCAGATTTGATCTGTAGATTTAACTAACAAGATGCAGACAGATTATCCTCTGTTGCTAAAATAGTCATTTTGCGTTGACTCAAATGGTCTGTGCCTTAAATTTAAGACTCTTTTTGTTGCTTTTTAATGATTACAGTTTGACCTGAACTGTCTCCCTGCTGCAGATCGTGACGATTCACCAAGAGCCGTTTGTGTATGTGAAACCGACGATGCAAGACGGGACCTGCAACGAGGAAAAGGCATTAAATGGAGTCACTATAAAGAAGGTTATCTGTACCGGGCCCAATGAGACCATCCCAGGTAAAACAACAGACGCATTTCTCATTTCACCACATATGCAGGAAGTTAGGTTATTATTCAAAGGTTACATTAGTTCATCAAACAGTAAGTTAATTGGTTACGTAGTTTCATTACCTACAGAGGAATTTATTCAACACATCACTGGCACCAACCACTAAGTGGATAAATCACAAGATGAAAAAATGGGAAATTTAGTGGAAGGAAAAAATGTGCTAGAACAAAAAATCAACAAACAACAGAGAAAAATTCACCCTCAATAGGGCTGTGAAGCAGTTCAGTCAAAAGAAGAAAAGAATCAACATCTCATCTGGTTGGCTTGTCTTTAATAAAAATCGTCAACATTTAAGCTTAAGTTGGAATATTTCACCCCAAAAATAATTAATCCGTGTAGCATAGGAGTTCAGTCTGAAATAAGCTTTCAGTTCTATTCTGATCTATTTAAATTAAAATGCAGCATCTGTTCTGCGCTTCAAAAGTCTCTTCAGCCTTTATATTAAAACCAGGAAATGTGACGTCCAGCATGAATGTTGGTGGTTTTCTGGCAGGGCGTCCCATCGTGCCGCAGTGCTGCTACGGCTTCTGTGTCGACCTGCTGATCAAACTGGCCATGACCATGAACTTCACCTACGAGGTCCACCTGGTGGCTGATGGGAAGTTTGGGACCCAAGAGCGGGTAAAAAAAAAAAACACATTTCATGCAAAAAAAAATCACACTTTTGTAGAACTTCTGTAGAATATTTGACAGAAAATTTAAACTGATGCTTCCTGACACACTATTGGCTGAGAGCAGACAAGGAGTCCCATCGATGCTAGATTCTGTTATAATGCTAAATAATATGTGCACTTTAATACATATTAACATATATTTCTGTTATTTGAATTATTAATTATGAGTTTTTAGAAGGGCTCGAGTATTGATAATTTTAGTTATTTGTTGGCAGTTGTTGTCTTGAACTCCACAAATTAAACTGTAACTTAATTAGAAAAGGGAATAATTTATGTTTTGTTAATTACTAAGTGTTTTGTAGGAATTGTCACATCAAACATCCAAGAAAAATGAATAAAACAAACGAAATAAACACTCCAACTCAGAAAAAGGGGACATATTATGCAAATGTATCATTTTGGACGTCCAACCACTTGTTGGTTGTGCAGGAGGTTCTCCTAATGCTTTTCAAAGATGTGCGGCTGTGTGATCGAGCTCCTTTTTGCAGCCATTTTCATGTACGAGTGTAAACGTGGAGTTGATAGCCAGCAGCAGCTTACTAAGATTTGAAGTGACAAGACGCCATGAAACGGATAAAATCTTTTGGATTAAAGAAGGATTTTCTGCAACAAATGTAACAAACATGTATTGTATAGATGTACCCTAAACTGTACAAGAAAGCATAATAGGTCACCTTTTGTTTTCTAATTGTTGTAGACAATTTAAGCATAAGGTAAAAGAAGAACAGAGAGCATCCTGTGGATGTTAAATGCATCGTTTTAAATGTTTTAGGTCAGTTTTTGGTTAGTACTTTTATTTTGAAGCTCTGCAGGAGTCCACTTTTCATCTGGGTTGAGGTTACTGCAGGAACACTGGCTGAACCAAAAATAACCTCTGTCCTTATTCATAATACATCAAAGTAGGGTATCCCACTGTAGCGCTGCAGCACACAGAAAACACAAAGAGCAGCACAAACAAAATCCTTATTTACTTCATTCGTATGAATGTAGATCTTTTTTAGCCAATAAGTTCAATAATTTTTATTTTGGTTAATATTACTTTGTTTGCAGGAGCTTTTATTTAATGTTTTGAATCTTTATTAAGTGTTCTATACAAAATTAGAGTTTATTTCTTCAATATATTAACAAAATACAGCTCTGGAAAAACATTAAGAGACCACTTAAAATGGTTAGTTTCTCTAATTTTACTTTTTTAAAGGTAAATGTTTGAGTAAAATGAACATTGTTCTTTTATTCTATGAACTACTGACATGTCTCTGAAATTCCAACCAAAAATTTTGTATTTATTTACAGAAAATGAAAAAAGATGCAGAGAATAATTCAAAGAAAACAAGTTCATAAACAACAATATTAATGTTTTAACTCAGAAATCAACATTTGGTGGAATAACCTGCAGGTTTTCAATGGGGTTCAGTGAAATGCTCTCAATTTTTCCTCTTTATCTTGCATTTCTTCTTTAACGTCTGTCCTGCAGAAACTCAGACTGTAAATAAAACAACTTATTTAGTTACTGGATGAATTACTGAGGGAGCATTATGCCTTGAAGAGATTTAGCTGCCAACAATCAGTACTTATATCTGGGAAGATCGTGGATGTCAGCCAGGATGTTTGTCAGGAGGAGTTTGTTCTTCATGCTTCAGTCGCTCATGGTGTGTATTTTGTAGCGTCGTGTCAGATTAGCTCAGAGTTTCTGGGTTAATGCTACATTTTCTTACACTGAAAAGTGCTGAGAGGGATGCAGAGCTCACTGTTACAGTAAAAAAGCTGTGGGGATGCAAACGATACTCTTGCAGTGCACGTCCTGCAACGTGAACCGCCTCAAACCAGTTTCGTGTCTGAGGCATCTGTGTGTGCAGACTAGCGCTCCTACACACTGCAGGGTTATTGATGTCTTTGCTTTTGTACTTCAGGTGAACAACAGCAACAAGAAGGAGTGGAACGGCATGATGGGAGAGCTGCTGGGTGGGCTGGCTGACATGATTGTGGCCCCGCTGACCATAAACAACGAACGTGCTCAGTACATAGAGTTCTCTAAACCCTTTAAATATCAAGGCCTCACTATTCTAGTCAAAAAGGTGAGAAACACACATGGTCCTTTTGCCCAACTATTTATTGTTAGAGGTCCTACTGTGGTATCTTGTGTTAAATTTAACTTTTTATTGTTATTCTGCGCCTTATTATAGCTGTTACAGTTCACACCATTATCTAGCTGACAGCTGGCCAGATGCTAGCTAACAATGTGGTCAAATTTTAATGAACAGCTGTTGACAGAAACACTGTCAGCTTCTCATAGTTAAGTTAACAGATGCTCTGTGTGTCTAACAGCTTCTATGAATCAAGCTAAGTCAACTTAATGGCTGCTCTGAGTAGAGCTAGTGGCTGCTCTGAGTCGAGCTAGCAGCTACTCAGAGCCAACTTAACAAAATTTAGTTTAGAGCTAACAGCTGCTCTGAATCGAGCTCATAACTACTGAAGGTCAATTTAAAGGCTGCTGGTGGTGTTTTATTTAGCGGCGGCGCTGAGTCAAACTAGCATCTTCTGAGAGCCTACTAAAGAAATGCTTAAACTCAAGCTAACATACTCAAAGTTAGCATAACAAATGTTTAAGTCAAGCTATAAACTGCTCAAAATCAGTTTAATGGTGGCTCGGAGTTGATTTAGCAGCCATCAAAGCTTGACTCTGAGCAGCGGTTAGGTTGCCTAGATGCTAGCTATTAAAGCTAGCATCTTCTGAAAGTCAAATTAGCAAGCGCTGAAATTCCAGCTAGCATCTGTTCAAGCTAAAAAACCTGTCAATGTTAATTCAATAGCTGCTCAAAGTCAATTAAGCAGTTACTGTGTGTCTATAAATGCTCAAACTCAAGCTAACAGCTGCTCAGAATCAAGCTAACAGCTACTTAACCTCAAGCTAACAGCTGCTCAGAATCAAGCTAACAGCTGCTTAAACTCAAGCTAACAGCTGCTCAGAATCAAGCTAACAGCTACTTAAACTCAAGCTAACAGCTGCTTAAACTCAAGCTAATATCTGCTTAAACTCAAGCTAATAGCTGCTTAAACTCAAGCTAACAGCTGCTCAGAGTCAAGCTAACAGCTAAAGACTAATGACTAATGCGACCTCCTCCTATCATTCTGATGTAATCGACTGATAACCTAATATACTGTATGTGTTTTTAGGAAATTCCTCGAAGTACGCTGGACTCATTTATGCAGCCGTTCCAGAGTACGCTGTGGCTGTTGGTGGGTCTTTCGGTGCATGTGGTGGCGGTGATGCTTTACCTTCTAGACCGGTTCAGGTACAAGAAGGGCGTGTTTGTCCATATGTGTGTTTGTATACACAGTGTGTGTATGTTTATATGCACTCCTCAGCACTGCAGATCTTCCCTCAGTGTGGATGAGATGGCAGACAGAGGTGAAGATTGCCTCCGACCATCCCACTGCTCTGTCCCCGTGCTACAGTCTTTAGCCTTTTTCCTTTTCTCCGACAGCTAATCTCTGTCTTGCTTCGCTCACTCATGTTCAGTTCCCTCCTTCTCCTGGGAAAATGCTGGGATTCATTCCCCTGTGTGTACTCAAAGACATCTCATTTTATCCTCTGCAACCCTTCCAATTTCTTCCCTCCAGTCCATTTGGAAGATTTAAAGTAAACAGTGAGGAAGAAGAAGAAGATGCCCTCACCTTGTCCTCTGCCATGTGGTTCTCCTGGGGAGTGTTGCTGAACTCTGGAATTGGAGAAGGTCAGACGTAACAATATAATCAACTGGGGTCACTTTCGCTGCAAAAACACAAAATGTCACCAAGTGTGTTTTAACCAGCTCATCAAACTGCTTGGGTTGCTAGGTAACGGACCTGGACTTGACTGGCGTTGCTAGGTAACGGCGCAGTTCCCACACTACAAAAACACAAAACCTCATCAAGCATTTTTAGTTTCTAGTGCAAGTATCTTGAAAAAAGTATTTGAAATAAGACAAAACTAACTTACAAGTGACTCAGCAAACTTGTTTTAAGTCAATAATTCCTGAATATTGAAGAAAAATATTAAGGGATTAATATTTTTATGTCACTTCTACATTATAAGTGACATAAAATGCCACTGGAACTGATAAATAAAGAGCACAGTGTCAAACTCAAGGCCCGCGGGCCAAATCCGGCTCCCCGAAAAGTTTTATGTGGCCCAGATGAATGTATAAATAGAGTCTTGAAAATAACTGTTGTGTGATTAAATAATATTTTATCAGTCAAATGAAAACAGTTTTAAAGAGGATTAGTGATGCCACAAAAAAAAGCTTATTCTGACTTTAATATTTTGAGATCAAAAGTCAGAATCTATGAGAAATAAAACATTCTGAGAAAAAAGCAAAAGTCCTTGGAAAAAAATAAATTCTGAGATAAAACAGTCAAAATTCAGAGAAAATGTTAGAATTCTGAGAAAGAGTTAAACGTCTGAGAAAAAAACATTCAAAATATCATAATTCTGATATTTTTCTTAGAATTTTCACTTTTGCATTTTGTTTTTATTTTCCAGTGGCCATAATCTTCTTCCGTAGTTTTTCCACCAAATTCCACGAGTGTGAAATGAAGTTCAAAGCTATTTACCTTTAAGAAGTTCTCATTGGCTCTTTATTCATATTTCAGAGGTTACAATATATTTTACCGCCACCGGCCCTTTAAGGACATTCATAACCTCGTGTTATAAAGTTGATCAGATGTTAAACCTTCGATAGAAAGTGCTCCCTGCATCCCTCTGTGGGCTGAAGGGACAGGCAGCTTTGGCTCGCTGCTGGACGGGCAGACAGTGCTGCCTTTCATTGGTAATGGCTTCTGGGATGTCTGGAGGTTCCTCTCTTTGGATTCTTGACAGCGTGAAGAAAATCACCAAGGAAGCTGCAGCTTCCAGGAACAGGGACGTCATGGTGACGGAATCGGTCAAAAACAAGCGGGGTACCGGGAAAATACAACCAATCTGCCGATAAACACTGAACCCATCTGTTTGTTCCACGACTAAGCCACCAATCAGTCAGAATAAAGGCAAATCTGTCACTTTTTCACCTGCTAATACTTTCATTTTAGCCTCAACTGCTTCTAAAAACAGTCTAAGCATTGAAAGAAGCACCACCCAGCCTGTTTTTGTCAATAAGTTGAAGTTAAAATCAGCCGTTTCAAATCCTCATTATTGTTAAGTTGCAATCGACAGACACTACCCCGTTACCTAGCAACCCCGGCCAAGTCCAGCCCGTTCCCGAGCAACCAGCTGGTTTTACTGCTGTGCAATGGCTGCTGGAAAAGACAAGAGTTTTGTTAACTCGCCATCCAGAGACCACTTGCTGCATTCTTGTTAGTTGTGCAGAAGGCTCCACTTCTGCTTCTCAAAGATCTACTTTTGTATAATTGTGGATGTGTTTGCAGCCATTTTCACATGAAAGTGTAAACATTCACTAACGGGGCGTGGCCATCAGCAGCTTATTTGTATACATGCGCTAAAACAGCTAAAATCTCATTATCGAAGAATAATTTTATGTAAAAAATGGAACAAACATGTCTTGTATAGGCCATAGATCTATCCTAACCTGTTCTAGGAAGCATGATCAGTCACCAGAACTGAAGAAGGTCTTGATCTCAACACAGGTGCACCGCGCAGCTTTTCAGCGAGAATCCTTGGCATGGTGTGGGCTGGCTTTGCTATGATCATTGTGGCTTCTTACACTGCCAACCTGGCTGCCTTCCTGGTGTTGGACCGGCCTGAGGAGCGCATCACCGGCATCAATGACCCCAGGGTGGGTGGTAACACACCAACCATTCACATGATACTGTCTAACATCAAGCATGTTTTTATTCAGCTGCTCGTTTTCCGACTTTTATCTAACCAGGATGTAACTGGTCAAGCTAACAGCTGCTTAAAGCCAATCATCTAATGGCTGCTTGAATTTGACTTGGCGGCCTACTCAAAGTTACTTTAATAGCTGACTGCTATTTGGAGCCACCTTAACAAATACTAAACTCAAGCCAATAGCTGGTCAAAATTGCTCCAAGTCAATTTAATGGGGTCAATTTAGCGCCTGATCTTAGTCAAGCTAACTGCTACTCATGGCCAACATGGCAAATTCTTAAACTCAAGCTGACTGCTGCTCAAAGTAAGATTTATAAATGCTCAGAGTCATTTATAAACTGCTAAAACTGCTCAAAATCAACTTAGCGACTGCTGTGAGTTGTTTTAGCTGCTTTTCTGAGTCAGGCTAACAGCTACTTCCAGCCAACTTAGAAAATGTTCAAACTCAAGCTAATAGCTGCTTGGAATTGAGCTAAAAACTGATCAAAATCTGTTTAATGGCTGCTCTGAATGAAGCTAACAGCTACTTTATGCCAACTTAACATAATCAAACACATGCTAACGTCTACTTTGAGCTAACTTGACGTAATCAAACTCAAAGTCAAGCTAAAAACTGATCAAAATCAATTTAATGACTGCTTTGAGTAAAGCTAACAGCTACATTGTGCCAACCTAGCACAATGAAACTCAAGCTAACAGCTACTTGCAGCCGTTTTATTATAAAACTCAAGCTAACAGCTATTTGCAGCCATTTTATTATAAAACTCAAGCTAACAGTGACTTGCAGCCATCTTAGCAAGTGCTCAAACTCAGGCCAGCAGCTGCAAACTGTTAGCAGGAACTGATGAATGATCGAATGTTTGCTGTCCTTCTCTGTGTGCAGCTGAGAAACCCATCCGATAAATTCATCTACGCCACGGTGAAGCAAAGCTCCGTGGACATCTACTTCCGACGACAGGTGGAGCTTAGCACTATGTACCGCCACATGGAGAAACACAACTATGAGAGTGCTGCAGAGGCTATCCAGGCCGTGCGTGACAAGTGAGTCTCGGCCAGGCCGGGCCGACCGGAGCGTACGTCGGCCGGCTGCTTCACACAGATTAGGGTCAGTCCAGTTAACGGCGGGCCGGTAGGGAACATGGACCTCCGGGTCAGATGGAAGCGGCAGGACTTACTGCAACCTTTCATTCTGACCCGGGTCCATCACCCCTGGCGCCGACACAAACGAGCGTGAGGTTGAGCTAATGTTGAGCGTAGGAGCGTCCTTTTCCAGGTCGAACCCGGCCGAACGTCAGAACCCGATGGGGGCGGGCGGCCTCACCGTCGGTCCTTGGATTTCATTTGGTAAACGCTGAATGACACTTGATTTGGTGTGCGAGTAAGAGAAGGTTGGGAGGCGTAAATGTGTATGTAAATCATTGTACTGTTGCACCATAACCCCCTCCTCCCCCTCCTCCCTCCTCCCTCCCTTCCTGCCCGTTGCCCCCCCACAGCAAGCTGCATGCTTTCATCTGGGACTCTGCGGTGCTGGAGTTTGAAGCCTCGCAGAAGTGCGACCTGGTGACCACGGGAGAGCTGTTTTTCCGTTCGGGCTTTGGCATAGGCATGCGCAAGGACAGCCCCTGGAAACAGAATGTGTCCCTGGCCATTCTCAGGTCTGTCCCAGCAGAAGCTGCGATTCTCGTATGAACTTTGATTTTTGTTTCATTTCTTTGATTTTATAGTCACGATCCGACAGTTTACAGTCATTCAGAATGCAATTATGGAGGAGGATTAGAGCCGATGTAAAAACATAAAATAAAATCAGACTTTTTTAGAAGAATTCTTACTTTTTATCTCTGACATTTTATTTTAATCTCAGAATTATGACTTTTTTTCTCAAAATTCTGACTTAGAATTTTGATTTTAATCTCAGAATTCCAATGTTTTTCTAAGAATTCTTACTTTTTTCTTCAAATTTTGGCTTCAATCTCACAATTTTGATTTTTTTCCTCATAATTCTGATTTTAATATCAGATTTCTTACTTTTTTCATCAGAATTTCAAAATTCTGATATTTTCCCAGAATTTTTACATTTTTCTCAAAATTTTGACTTCAATCTCAGATTTTTGACATTTTTCTCAGAATTTCAGAATTCTAACTTTTTCTAAGAATTCTCATTTTAATTTCAGAATTCTGACTTTTTCTCTGAATTTTGACTTTCAACTCAACATTTGAACTTTTAACTCAGGTTGCTGATGATTCTTCAGATTATTTTTTCTCAAAACCTGAGAAAAAAGCCATTTTTTCTTTTTTCAGTGGCCCTAATCCTCATCCATACTCAATACATCGGCTTATGTCACATCTTCTTATATCTTCCCTCTCCAGCATTGTTTGTCAAGTTACTGTCTGTCGGACCATCTGTCTTTGTTCCACACGGGAATAAGCGGCTCGAAGGTTCTGCCTCTGGAGGCGCCGTATTAACTTCTCCACCTCTCTCCTCATTTCCCCCGACCCCCTGCAGTTCTCATGAGAACGGCTTCATGGAAGACCTAGATAAAACCTGGGTGAGATACCAGGAGTGTGACTCACGGAGCAATGCCCCAGCCACACTCACCTTTGAGAACATGGCAGGTATGGTCCCCTCTGTGTAGAAAAAGCCTTAAAAGTGATTGGACAAAAACTGCAGTGGTAAGTTACTGTAGCCCTTTTTTGTCCAATACCTTTGCCGTACTTTTTTCCTTGGTGTCAGCGTGGGTGCTCTGTGACAGTTTTGTGCCGTTCTTCGATATCGTTGTTGTTGTTTACAGCCGCTGTCGTCAAACTGGAGCTGGTGCAGGAAACCGGGGCGACCGCTGAGCATCACAAGCGTTCATGCTCAGCGGGAGCGGCGTGATCGGAGACCGGATCCTCACCTGTTTCCATTTTTCTGTTTCTCTCCCCCGACACCAGGAGTCTTCATGCTGGTGGCTGGAGGCATTGCGGCGGGGATCTTCCTCATCTTCATCGAAATCGCCTACAAACGCCATAAAGACGCCCGCAGGAAGCAGATGCAGCTGGCCTTTGCGGCCGTCAACGTCTGGAGGAAGAACCTGCAGGTAGGAACGATTCTGCTTCGCCGGTAACCCGAGAACCGCCATCTCCTTCATCTGATGTCAGGCACATGTGTCAAAGTGGAGGCCTGTGGGCCAAATCCGGCCCGCCATCAAGCTTTATGTGGCCCAGACGGACACGCAACAGAATCTTGAAGTTAATAGAAGGTTCAGTATTAACCTTGTATGCTTAAGAAATATTTTACCAATCAAAGGAAAGCAGTTTTCAGTGGAAGAGGACTAGGGACACCGAAAAAGAAATTCTGTCTTTCTTCTTAGAATTTACCAGAATTTTAATATTCTAAGATCAAAAGTTAGAATTATGAGGGAGAAAAAGTAAAACTTCTGAAGCAAACATCAGAATTCTCAGAATAGTTAAAATTCATAGAAAAAATCTAATCTGAGAAAAAATTTAAATTATAAGAGCAAAAATTTTAAATTCTAAGAAAAAAGTTAAAATTCTGAAACAGAAGACAAAAATCTTAAAAATAAAATTCTGAGAAAAAGTGGAAATTCTGAGAAAAATAGCAAAATTATGAGACAAACTTTCAAAATTCTGAGAAAACAAAATTATGTATGCAAAAATATTTTAAATTCTGAATAAAGTCAGAGTTATGAGAAAACGTTTTTCTCAGAATTTTGACTTTAGAATTTCGAAAGTAAAACCCAGAATTCTTTTTTCCTGTGGTCATAATCTTCTCCTCCATTCTGCCAAACTGACTGAAATGGAGTCCAGCATTATTCAGCTGTAACTCATCGAGTGCAGAGGCGGCTCTTCATTCCTGTTTTTGTTACTGGGTTCCATCAACACATTCTGCCACGACCGGCCCTTTGAGGACATTCGTAATCTGGATACGGCCCAAAATAAAACCCAGCTTTATGCGGGTTCTGGAAGGCCACTTTCTGGGTCCGGATTGTTTTCAGGAGTCGAACTGCAGCCGTATCTCTTGTGTGTGCCTGCAGGACAGTAAGGAAGCCTCTGGAAGTCAAGCGGTGACTGGGACTCCCTCGTTAGTATGTAGCTCTCCTACGTCACCGCTCGCCAGTAGAACATAAGTAAACTAAGTCGCCTCCAACATAGTGGATATCATGTAAAACCTCTTTTAGCTGCTTCATGGCATGGTGGAGTGTTTCTTTAAGCTGTTCTGCTTCGTAACGTCAAAGAAAGTAGCAATGGTTTTAGCAGAACTGATGCTTTGATTGTCCCAACATTGACTTTTTCTCTCTCTCGCAGCATCGGAACAGCCAGGAGCAAAAGATACAAATAGAGCATAAAAACAATCAATGCTTTGTGTGAGTTGGACAGTAGTGACCCATATTTACTGCCAGACAGCGGAAACATGACATGCAGCGCAGGGAAAACTCTGCAGAGCAACACAATGATAAAACAATCTGTGTAAAACTCACTGGTTTATTTATTGCTACTATTCACATACAGTACCGTGCAAAAACTTAATGTTTGGTATTTAAACGTTAATTAATTTGGCAAGTTTCATCCATTTTCTGATTAAAATGATTAAATCAGAAAATGCCACAAAAAAACCATTTAAAAATGGTTAAAACAATTGATAAAGTTTACATTAAAATATATTAATTTGTGCCATTTTCTTTCTAAAGACAAAAAAAGGAGAAAATCTTTGGCCTTTTGAAAAAGTTGCACTGTAAAACAAAGTTTGGTCGCTCAACTTGACTCGGTTTAGTTTCCTTGTTACTTTTATTTTAGCTGTCAAGTTCGAAACACTTAACTGTTTAGAAATTACATCAAAATTAAAATGATTAGTTAAGAGACATTTTTAAAATGTTGCCCCAACTTTTTAAAGTTTTTATTTAACATACAATTAATTTTTTTTTCTACTTCTGAACTCATTTCTAAGTTAAGTCGACTTTGTAATGTTCAATTTTTAAAATGTTCATCCTTTTATTCTAAATTATTTTATTCAGGTTGAGAAATTTAAAAAAATATATTTTACAAAATTTCCAACAAAAAACAGAAACAAAACTTCAGTTAACTCAAATTTTATGAGATTAGTAAAAGTAAGATTTATGAGAGCTCATTGTCGCTACGGGCCGCTTATTAAGACAAAGGACAAACTGAAAGGTTTTTAGGGTGTTCTCCCACAACCCAAACTAAAACTGCAACATTTCTGACATTTTCAGTTGCTGTGGTTTGCTTTCACACTGCACTGTGTCAAACTAACCAAACTAATTGATACGCCTGTTCCCCTCCTCGCCTGTGGGGGCGCTGCACCAAGTATTACCGAAAGTAACAACACAAGAACACAAAATTAGTGCAACTTCCTTCTTCGTGTAAACAAAATGGAGAGCCGTAAAATACGATTTCTGTCCGCTAACATTAGACTCTCAAATTAGTTTTGGTTGCATTTACGCAGAATTTCACCCAAATATGGAGGGCAAAAAGCCGACTCTTTCACTTGCCATGCAACAACTCAGCTAACTGAATAAAACCTGGAGATGTAGCTATCATTAATCCAGTGTTGTGCTAGGAAAATAAGCTGACAACTGACAACGAAGCCACTTTATGTTTCAGAGTTCAACACCAAAAAACACTCAAACATTTCCCACACTAATAACAGAACATTCTGTTTTATCTTTTAGGTTTACATTGTGATTATTAAATAAACCAAAATGCACAGAATTCTGCAGCACAGCTACATGTCAAGGTTGTCATAGTCAAGCTAGCATAGCTGAACTACTTCCCTCTTCCTCGCAATATTTTCTTCATTAAAACTTTTTCCTGACCCTGTTGTGTTGGCAGTTATTAGCAAAGCACTGGATCCTTTTTTCTTGTATGTAGCAGGTGTACATTTAAGTCATTTTTGCACATTATGTGGAGAACTTGACAGTTAAAACGAAAGCTAGTCATTGTTAGCAAGCAGGATCTTGCAGCATATCTATGGAGTTCAGTTGCACATTCTCACTTCACTCCAAACTTTCTGGGCTAATGAACATGCAGCCTAAACAAAGAGCTGAAGCATGACTCAAGAGTTTTGCACGGTACCGTATCGTCTGAATCTGCTTTTTTTACTCGGGTTGACTGATTTCAGCTCCAATCAAGCAGCAGCAGCAGGAAAAAGTTCCTTTACTCGGCCAATCAAGAACGTGATTTGCAGCTGCGCTCCGATGCAATCAGTGCAGCTGTGAGGTTTTTGAACGTTACTCAGGTTTTCTGTGGTTTGACGGCCGATCGCACTGACAAGCAGTGATCCGGCCCTGGCAGTGTGTCTGTTGTCTGTCTGTCTGTCTGTTTGTCCCTGCTGGAATGAGACAGCAGGGGCTGGAGGAAGGTACAGTATGAATGTAAGTGCCTGTTTAACGGCGTCTACGTCACGCTGATAGACGTATCTGTTAGTCTCCTCATATGGATGTTGGAGTTTCAGAGACATGAAGCAGATTGAATGCATGCAGGGTGGCATCACTGAGAAAGGAGAACGACACATTAAATGTTGATATTTTGAGGATCTCGTTGTCCACTGGAACAAGATGGCCGCTGCTGCTTATTGACCATCACTGTGGAGACGTATTCGCAGCGGCATCTTGCAGAACAACCACCGAGGGCGCCTGAGGAGTCCAACTAATTCAATTAGTTCAGCTTGAATGTTATTTCGAATCCTATCTGGGCGCGCTGATTACTCCACGCTCCAGTTTTCATAAATTGAAAGTGACAACTTGCTTATGTAGGACACAAATCATGATGACGGAGAATATAAGATCAGTTATTGTGCCGTCCTCCTTCCTTAGTACGGCAAGCAGAAAAACCTGCAGCCTCATCGTTGGCTTCATTTCGACTGCTTGTTTGTCTTTTATATGTAATTGTGTGCCTATAATGCCTCAGGTTGGTGTATCACAGCATTATGGAGGACTGTGCACATTCAAAAATGAATGTAGCTTCAGAGAAAGTGCACATCTGACTAAATCTGTGCAAGATGCTGTGTGAAGATGCTGCTTTTTTGCAAAAGCTGTAAAGTTTAATGCATGACTCAGAGGCACTTTGCTATTTTTCTATCTTAATAGTGATGCAGATCCTTATAATATATATTTTATATATTTATTTAAGTTTTGTGTCTATGTTTTCACATCATAGAAATACATTTTTCCAAGAATTGAATGCTATTCAAATTAATTCAATGAAGAGGCATGAATAACCACTGTTACTTTGGACTTTGTATTTTAAGTTTGTTTGTTTTTTGTTGTTGCCTTTTGTCTTCAATAATGACATTTTTTCCTACAGAGTTTAAGTGATGAATAGAAATAATAATGAAATGAGTAGCGTTGTATCAAATGAAAACAGCTACGACTGAAGCTAGCGGCTAATCTGGGTGTAATTCAAACCAAAAGCTACTTTAGCTAAAATCAGTGAACAGCTAATCAAAGTCAGAGTCAGTTTTACAATTTAAAAGTCAAGCATATGGATCTGTAATCTGAATTGAACCAGGAGCTCAAGCTAAAAGCTACGCAATTATTAAGCTTTTAGCTACTCAAACTAAGAGTACTCTCCTATAGCTAACAGTTACACAGCTGTCAATGACCATTTCAGCTAAAGCTGAAGCTAACAGGTACTTCAATTAAAAATCAAGCTGCTCAGACTGAGAATCAAGCTGAAAGACACTTAAGCTTGCAGAAAATTCGCAGCTAAACAATCTGCAGCAGACTGAAGGCAAAGCTAACGCTGAACAGCTAATAGCTATTTCATCTAGAAACTGCTAGTCAGGCTTAGAGGAAATGAACAAGTTTGTCTAAAAATACAGCTAACAGCTCCACAGACTGATTAGTCAATTATAAATTAAGCTAAGTGAAAGCTAACAAGTACTTCAGTTAAAAGTCAAGCTGCTCAGATTGGGAGTCAAGATAAAAAATGTTTAAGCTAGCAGAAAATTAACAGCTATAAAAGCTATAGCAGACTAAAGGCCAAGCTAGGTGCTAATTCTAGAAACAGCTAGAATTAGCTATCAGTTCTGTCTGAGAAAACAACTAACAGCTACACAAGCTGAGTAGCCAGTGACTACCTAAGCTAAAGTGGAAGCTAACAAGAAATTTAGTTAAAAATTAAGCTGCTTAGATTGAGAGTCAAGACACAACATGCTAGCAGAAAATGACAGCTAAACAAGCTAAGACTTAAGCTGCTGTAACAGACTAACAGTGAAGCTAACTGCTCACTACAGCTAATTGCTAAGTGATCTAAAAATTAAGATAGGAGGAGAAAGCTATAAATAAAGCTGACAGCTAATTAGGCTAAATAAAGGCCAACAGAAATGAAACTACAGCTAGCTTTGATTGCACCATCTTACATCCTAAAGATTTACATCACTGTTGCCATTCCTCTTGCTGAGGCGCTTCCCCTCTTTGGCTTCACCTTTTGGAGCAGATCTTACTCAGAGGTGCACTCTCTGAACGACTAAAACTGGCCTCGCCTGGAAAAAGCACCAGGCTCTGAAGCTGAGCGACGGTAACAGAGAAATGCTGCAGTTTGTTTCTGGTGGGAAACAGGCAGCCGCCGTTTATTTGGTGCATCAGTCCCATCGATCCTGGCTTGGTCTGGTGGCTCCGCATGCCCAGCATGGCCGACACTCAGCGCACACAGCGCCTCATCAGGCGGCTTCACCTGCTGCTGATGCTAAACGTTACCAGAAGAAGGGATGTGTCGTCTCTCGGGCTTTGATTTATTTTGATTTTGTTGTTTTTATCTTCTGAAGCAAACCGAACTCGGTAACGTTTTATTTGAAGCGGTGCATCAGACCGACACGACGCCGTCAGAAACATAGAGGAGTCTTCATAAAGTTCACAGATGAAGTATCATTTAGTAAATAATGACACTTTTAATGGACATTTAATGCAATTTTGATTCAAAAGTGTCATAATTTTCACAATAATGCAAATTTGATGCTTTTAATTCTCTTTTAAATGCTTTACTCTGAAAATAATGACACTTTCAAGCAAAGTTGACTCTTTTAATGTCACCTTCAATGCAACTTTATTTTAAAAATGTAATTATTTACAGAATATTGTGGAGTTAACACTTTTAATTCAAGTTTTAATGTAACTGCATTAGAAATGTCTTTATTTACTGAATAACACTTCATAAAAGCCGTAAAGATTTATAAACACTCCTCCATATTTCAGACGTCGTCGTCAGTCTTATGCTCCTCCCTTCTAATAACGCGTTGCCTCTTTTCATTGCTATTTACCAACATGAGGTCTCATCTTTCAACAGGAAAAACAAACAGATTTTGTTCTTTTTTACTTTCCGTAACTGAATGTGAAGCGGCGATCTCCTGCTAACCTCCTGAAGTGAAAGTCCTGCTGAAACAGCCGAGTCACGTGACCCGATGAGAGGCGATGCTCTGCCGGCCCAGTGCTGGCCGCCATCGATCTGTGCTGCTCTCTGTTTAATGTTTAATTATTATTATTCTATGTTTTCCTCCCTTATGACGCCCCCTCCATCCATGAAGGCATGTCGAAATTCACACCACACTGCCCAACCCCAAACTGTCCGCCACATATTCTTTAGCCAACATCCATCTTAGAGCGCTTCGTTTTCCTTTATTTTTGTTTACTTTTTAGGAAGAAGCATCTTTGCTAATCTCATCATATAGTTGGTTATTTAAACTGCTTCATAAGAGGTTTAATGTAGTTAAGAACATGGTTTGCTGCTGCGTTAGGGACTCATTTCTCCTAGTCATGCTCCATCTCATTCCCTTGTGTGTGGGGTGAATTTCCATTATACCGCTTTACGGTATAATGACTTTAAATGGGCTTCAGTTACTGACCTTTGTCGCTATTGTTTTCCCTTCAATATGCATCCAAAACTGTAGCTTCTCACTTTTTTATACCTGCCTGGCTTTGGATGTGGATGTTTGCTTTGCTAGCAGTTTTTAAATAAATATTCGCCATATTTTTATTTATTTTTTATCAATTTTCTTTAGTTCCCTCGGCTTTTGCTTAAGGATCTTGTATAAAGTAATAATCAGGTGGATGGAAATTTATTTTATTTTTCTTTTCTCCCCCCTATGCAGCCCTCTTCCTCTGTAGAGACTCAGGATGTAAGAATACATTAATATGAGTTTATTTATTTGGTTTTGTTTATTTCTGCACACAAACCATGCAGTCATTGTGAGAGTAGCTGTGGGGCTCTATGGTGTGAGGGAGGGAGGGCGCCAAAATGGCTGCAAAAGTACAGAGAAGTTATTTTCTAAATAACTTCTCCACTTTTTGTTTTGAAAAGTAAATTAAAATATTCGCTAGAGCTTCGATCGTAGCGTTGTGACGGTGCGTTAGGGGCATTGTGGGTAGAACAAGAGAAAGGCGGAGTAAATTTCTGCCAAAAAAACTCTGGGATCTTTACATTAGAAATCTTTACATTTTCAGAAATTTTCTAGAAAAAAATGAGAAATTTTTGGAGTTTCAAAACTTTAAAATTTGCTGCAAAAATGTCAGAAATTTTTTAGATTGTTTTCAGAAATTTTACAGAAAGAATTTGGACATTTTAGAATTTCCAAAGTTAGAAGTTTGCTAGAAAAAAAACTCAGAAATTTTGAGATTTTCAGAAAGGTTTTAGAAAAAAGCGTGAATATTTTCAGAGTTTTAAAAAGTTAAATATTTTTGACTTTTGAAACTCAGAAATTTCCATGTTTCTTTCTAGAAAATTTCAGAGTTTTTTCCTAGCAAATGTTTGACTTGTGAAACTCAAAAATGTTACTTTTCTTCCTACTCAGAAAAAAGTAAAACTTGTTTTTTTCTGGAGAATTTCCAACCTCAATTGTAAAATTTTGTAGGTTTTTCTCAGGAAATTTTTTTCGGTTAATCTAAAAATTTCTAGCAAATTTTTGACTTTTCTTACTCAGAAATTGCCTTGTTTTCTAGAAAATTTCTGCGTTTTTTGGCAAAGGTTTACTCGTTTTTGTGTCTCTGGCCCTAATGCGCCGTCATGTAACGTCGTATTGCACTGAATATGCAAAGTTTGCACACGACTCTGAAGATGATTTGTTTTTGTGATGTAAAGAAATGAGACGATGTCGAGTCTGGAAATGTTCCTCGAAATGGGGATAAATATTAATTAATGACTTATAATAAAATTGATTGAGCTTATTAATCAACTGACAATTAATTGATGAGAGGCCTTTTTCTTAAAAACTTACACTTGAAGTGCCGACTGTCTTTCCATTATATGGCTGGGTAAATATAATATCCTGAATTTAAAGAAAAGCAACAAATTTTGACATTATTTTGTGTCGATTGTGTTAAATATTGACTTACTTAACAGAAAATTGTGGCTTTCTCACATTGTAACATATTTATAAAATGCCAGTGATGCAGCGCTGCGCCAAGCGCTGACTAACTGCGTCTAAAATAAATGTATTAATGTTTTTCTGGCTGACAGAAAATGTCTGTTTTTGCCAAAGCAACTCAAATCTATTTTAAATTACAAATGGCACGCAACACTTGCAGTGAAGAACTTTTTTGATTTCCATCATTGGATACTTTCAGAATCTGTAATTGATTCAAAACGCCCTGAGTTGACGTGTTCGTGTTTTTATTGTAGCCAATCACATTTACAAAACAGCGCCACCTTTCTGTTGGAGGAACAAATAAACAGTTAAGAGACAAATCTTTTGACTTCAGATCTTACATATTAAGATGTTGTGTTATTGCAGGAACAATTTAAATTTAGTTACTCTGTGAGTGTTTGTTAGCTTGGAAAAGTTTGAAGGACAATGATCTGAAGAACAATAACTCGTCCAAATCCAGATAATTTAACAAAACTGGATTCAGATCCAGTTCAGATGTTGTAGGAAGCTCTTAAAAACTCTCTCGTATGGTTGAGTTAAAGTAAGTTTCCCTCCGTTGTTGCCAATTCAGGAAGTGAAGGCAAAGAACTTCAATCAAGCATTAGTAGCATCAAAAATATCTTGATAACTTTTTTACATCACAAAAACCCAGGAGTGCAAACTTTTCGCATCCATTGTATCTCAGTAGGTCATGTTGAGCATTTTCTGTCAATCCATTTTAAGGCTACGATCAGTTGCGTGTTAAGCGTGTTTTCAAGCAACAGCCATTCATTTAGATGGTTTAAGTAAATATAAATATCACAATCACTGACATCTTTTCTAGTCATCACTCATCCCAGTGCATTTCCGAGGATGTTTGAACACATTTTTGGAGGACAACTCCACCATCCTGTGCAGTAAGACCTAGAACAGACACACATCTAATGACAAGCTTTATCCCTTTCTTTCTTCCTCCCTCCTTTCACTTTTCTTTTTACTTTTTTAAATGCTCTAGTGTTTGTTTACAAGATCCTTTCTATAAAAACGTAGACACTAAGGTGGGGTGTCGGGTGCTGGGTGTAGAGCGACTGGGTGAGACTGAACGGCACAGTCGTCACCCCGGCCGTAGCGCACGAATAATGTTTCTACATATATTCATTTTAGGATAGGAAAAGTGGTAGAGCAGAGCCCGACCCCAAAAAGAAAGCCTCTTTTAGGTCCATCAGTACCACCCTGGCTTCCAGCATCAAGAGACGTAGGTCCTCCAAAGACACGGTAAGGAGACGAAGGATCAACGACCTCCACTCCACGTTTCTCTCCTCCTTCTCTGTCTCTGGTTTCACCTGCTCCTCTCCTCCTCTGTCCTCTCTGCATACATCCCCCCCACATCCGAACGAGTCCCATGTCCAGCCCACTCATTTCCACGCGACTCTGCGCAGCCTCTGCCAAGTGTCTGTCCCTTTTGCCATCGATCAGCCATCACCATGTAGGGCTTACCGCTCCGTTAGCGTCAACCAGTGAAGGATCCTAGGTCAGGGCGGCCGAGGTTAGCGGCTGAGAGGAGAAAACAGAAACGCTTTATTTTGAAGGGGTGTGTGTGAAACTGACGCAAGACTGTGGTAAACATGAAGGAGTCTTCAGGACTGTTTGACTGTCGTCGTCAATGTCAGTCCGTAAATGATGACACTTTTAAAGAAACGTTGACTTGGTTTAAAAGATCTTTGTAATGATGACTTGACATTAACAAAGAAAAATATCTATTTTGTTGTAGTTGTAGAAATCTTGCTGGATAATCGTAGGATTAATTAGAAAATTAAGCCATAAAGCTGTATAACTTTTTAATGATGATAATCAATACTTGTTATAACATTTTTATGACAACCTGACATTAACCAAGACTTTATATTCTGTAATAAGTATGTTATAACACATGTAAACTCTCCATATTAATTTAAAAAGACTAACAATAAGTGACAGTGATGTAATATTAAGACATAAAGCTCCACAATGTTTTAAAGTTTGACAAGCAATACTTGTAACACATTTATAACTGTCTAATATCTAGTTGTCACAAAGACATTGTAAACAGTGTCAACCTTTCATTAAATGTGTCATTATTTACTGAATTACAGCAGCTATAAACACCCATGAAGACTCCTTCATGTTTACGTCTGTCCTCCGTCTGTTTTATTCACACCCCTTCAAAATAAAGCGTCTCCTCAAAGCGTCCCGATAATCCGGGGTCCGTAGGGACACTTGGGGTCTTCAAGAGGACGGGGGCGACAAAAGCCAGCAAGCCGTGTTTTGTCTTGAGCTGCTCTTCCCTCCTAACCTGGTCTCGGTGTGGGTAATGGCAGTGGTTTTCCTCGTGGTGGCGCTGCAGTGTGTGATCCTGTCTGTTCATATGATTGTGGAGTCATTTTGACTGCTTGATCCTGTGTGTATCCACAGTTCCTTTGCAACCAACCCTGCACTCTCCTCAGTTTGGGTTTTGATTATGTTTTGTCGAGCATGCGCTGGTGTTCTGTAACTTTGGTTTTGTTGTTTTCTTTTTCCTTTCCAAATTCATACCCAAGGCAGTAGTGATGGCCAGACCTCCTCAGAAGAAACCCACTAAACAACATGTCTATTTCCAGGATTACACTCATGGATTTTTATTGATAATCTTTTGATTTCTCATGTTTTCTTTGTCACAGTTCTTTATTTTCCTTGTGTCTGAACTGTGCATGCCTCTTCCAGGTTGTATTTTCAGGTGAAGACGACTGTCTTCTTTTCTGTTTGAATTCTTCTTCTTTTGTAATCATGCAACAACTTTTGAGAAATGTCAGACTCTCATTCTATCACAGGACAAGCATTATTTATTTCATTTTTTTACATATTTTCAACGACTGCAGCTGTGTTTGAAATGTGAATGTCACTCAATCACTATATTTTGCTCACAAAGTAGCTGCAGCTAGCAGGGCTACTTACACTTAACATTTGTTAGCCTTAGCATAGCATCTGTTTCTCAGTGGGAACAAATGTTGTAGCTAGCGCTCCAGAATTAGCTAACAGGAGGATGACTTTGCAGTTCCAGATGTTTGTTGTGCTTCTGCATTAGCTTAACTGCTCAGAAACATTAGCATTAACATGCTAACATAACCTCTGGCTTGCTAAAGATAGTTTTGGTTACATTACTTTACCTTTTTTTCAACTAATCCCAACAACCCGGTACTACAATTATATTAATAAAAAGAAGGATCGCTGAACTTTAATGTCTGTTATTACATTAAAGCTCAGTTTTAGCATGCTAGCATTAGCATTAACATGCTAACATTACACAGATTCCATGTAGAGCCTCTCTACAACACATTTTCTGTGCTGTAAAACATGTTTTTAATCTGTTATATCTCCTTTCCCAGACCTTCTGACTCATTGGGTAAATTCTGATCATGTATTTTTATTTATACACCAATGATTTCTTGCAGAGCAAATATGTTAAAAGATGTGTGAAAATCAATGGGTAGCTCTTTATTTTAAAAGATTTATAACCACAGTGAATTAAGCTGAATTAAGGTAAATTATTTTGTACTTAATCACAGAGTAAATTTGAAGTTTACTTCACTGTATTTAAATGGTAGTTTTTCTGTTTTAGATTGGAAATGCAGTCAAAAAGGGAACAGTAGGGTCTTCCTACACGTAATAAAAGGATATAGCTGTGTTACTCATTGCTCCTAAAACTTTACATTTTACTCATCTAAACTCAGCTGCTAATTGTTTTCAGGTTGGTTGTAGGCCAAGAAGAGGGTCTGATTTTCCTCCTTCTTTAGGTTTTTGTTCATGAGTAAAAATGAAACACCTGTTTTGTTGTTGGTTGTTTTAAATTTAGTTTATTCCACCAGATTGACCTAGATTCCCCACATGTTCGTAAAACATCCCACTGCTTGCCAGAGTAATTACTTATACATGCACCGGCTGAAGCCACATGTTAAGCTTTATCTGATTAAAGATGCAGCGCAACAAGTGGGTACGAACGGTGGGAGCTTCAAAATGTTTGTTGGAGTCCGATTATCGTAAACCAGTTATCAAAAAGAACTATTTACGACTTATCAAGACAATGTCCTTAACTGAAACTGCTCCTATCATAGCACATATTGCTATTAAATCCTCTAATAAGTTTGTGTCGCTCATTAGCATTAGCATGCTAACACTGCAGTTACTTGGCTCAGGATTCACTGCATGACAATAATAATTGTCACAGTGTTGAATTTCTGTGGAGTCAGTTCCCTGTGTCCCGGTTCAAATGTCTGGTGAACTGTCTTCTGAAATGAAGTTGGACATTATTAGCATTAGCATAATAGTGTTAGCGCTAACATGGAGAACTGCATTGCTCTTCTTGATAACTGATTCACTTCACAACCTTTTACAGTATATTAGCCTTATTATGAAACAGTTTCTAGTGTTTAAAATAGAAGATGTAAATATACAACAAGAATTTATAATTTGCTTGCTAACATTAGCAAATAACATTGCTGTTAGCATATAACAATGGAAGCAGTCCATAATATTCATTTAGTGCATTCGCAGAGCACTTTATACAAGATTAATAATGATGGGTAATCTTTAGTAACAACATGTTAACATTAATGTCCTGAATGATTGGTTAAATATGACTACCGATACACTTTGCATGACAATAATGTTAGCCTGCTAATATTAGGCTAACATTAATAATAATTGATGCATTTTATACATTTTTAAATAAAATTTCTGCACCATAAAAAAATTCTAGTGCACTGCTGAACATTTGTGGTACAACACTAACATCAATATCAAAATGCTAACGTTGTGTTTTATACATTTATTGCAGCATAAGCCAAAATGTTGCTACATGAATTTTCTTTTTTAATTCATATATGTGCCAATTTCTATATTTTGGCGAAAAAGGAAATTGCAATTTAATTTTTGCATTAGCATGATAGCACTAGCATTAACCTAGCATTAAGCTAGGTTATCTTAGATAGCACAATATTACACTTGACACCAACTGTACAGTGTATTTAGCACCTGAAGCATTTTTAGTACCCAATATTAAATTAAAAATAAAATTATAGTTGAATATTAACATTAGCATGCAAACATTGCTGATTACAGGCAACTAGACTTTAGCATTAGCCTATTAGCACTAGCATTGATGATATTAGTTGATTACACACAAAAGCAATTGTTGATTCAGAGCACAACTAATGTAGCATCTACATTTAGTGTGCCAAGTAATAAAACAATTGCTCTTTATGTATACATTTGCCGTTATCATGCTAATATTAGCATCCTAATGCTAATTTAGCTCCGTTTGCTCAGTCAGCACTACATTATACTGCACATTAACTCATGAATTAAACATTCTCTCTGTTAGCATATTTAATGTTCAATATAGCAAATATTTAGTGGATTATATAGCAGATAATAACAAAAACTGTTTTTGCTAATATTAGCATTGGCATGCTAACACTATGTCCTGTTTCATAGACTGCATTTCTTAACGATCTGTCAGGATCAAAAAAATGAACATTGATTTTACTTTACCAGCAGATTTTTATAAGCTGTTGAAATGTTACTTAAATAATAATTATAATAGTTTTTATTACAAGATGGACGACTCGCTGTGTTGTACACTATATAGTGAATGAGTGGCCAATTCACCCAAAGCGTTTGCTTGACTCAATGAGAGTTTCAGGGTTTTTTTTGCATTTCTTTTACAGTTGAGCTCAAAATCGTTTCTTTGTGCGTTTGAGGAATTGAACAGAAATCGTTTGAAGTGACAAAACGTTGACCCCGAGGTCACCTGAAGCTGCTTCACCTCAACATTTAAACTTACCTGAACACCTGCAGAGAAAAAGAAAACAACCTGGAAACGTTTGACTCTAACTCTGTATTTTGGGGTATTTATCAAAGGCACATGAATCGTACATCAGCTACGTTCGCAAAAATGGCTAAAATAGATTTAGCCTGGTTTTAAAATCTGTTTTTCTGCTGCCAATGTTTCAAGACGATTGTTAATTTGTGTTGTTTACGGTTTGGAAGTTGGCTCTGGAGCCCTGATTGTGGGGAAAAAATGAGAAATTTGATCAAGATACGGTTAAATTTAAACCTAAATACCAACCATCTCCAGTCTTTGACCATTATTTTAATTTTATATCAATGTTCTTCTTTTTTATATTAATGGATATCAATGGACTTGAGTGTCAGTGTCCCTCACCCACATGCCACACCGCTCCTCTCTTCCTCTGCAAGCATGCCGACTCCTTTACCTGTCCTAGCTGTAGTTATCGTAGCAACAGTGTGTAGACTGTCCTCTGGAATAAGCAGCTTTTTAAGCCTTACCTGTGCTTGTGATGTCAGTAAAATGTCTTACTTTGACTGGTCCACTTGACGTCGCTAAACCGCCCTCAAGGGAACGAAAGGTATACGGAGAGCAAACGGGGGCCGTAAGCTGTGTGACGATGAGGAACATCCAAAACTGATTCTGATGGTTAGAAAATGATCAGTACTGTGCAAAAGTCTTCAGTCAACTCTCTAGATGTTATTGGAACCTTTTAAAGTCGGATTGGTCGGTCGGATTTCAGGGTTTTTTTTGGCTTTTGGCTGCTTTTTCTCAAAAAAGTTTTCATTTTGGTTTAAGTTACGTCCTTTGTTATGCACATTTTGAGGTTCAAAAAGCCAATAAAGGTAAAATCTGTTACAATTGTTAGAGGAAATCCTGAAAAATACAAACAAAAAGCATTTTATAAACGCTTGGCATGCAGAACACTGCAAAAACACAAAATGTTAACAGGTATTTTTGGCTTAGTTTTTAGTGCAAATATTTTAGTACACCTGAAATTAGACAAAACTAGTTTACAGGTAAATCCTTAATATTGATAAAAAAAATTATGTAAGCATTATAATTTGAGCAGGACTTGTTTCATTTGGCTCATTATTTATAATATGAATCATGTCCGATGGTTCAAGTGTCTTTTTTTTAAATAAAGTTAATAAATTTGGGGATTTTTTTTTTCTTTTGTTAAATTGTTTTCAGACGACACTGCAAAAACACAGTCATTTTGTGTAGTTTCTAGTGCAAACATTACCGTAAACTTGAATTAAGGCAAAACTAATTTATGAGTAACTTTTTGTTTGATTGTTTTAAATCAATAATATTTATGAAAAGTTCTCGTTTCACTGGCAAATTGTTTTTATTTATAAGAAAACATTTTTTCCACATTACAAGTGCAAAAAATCTGCCAGTGGAATTAATATTTTTAATTTACATTAGAAATGACTGGGATACATTTTGCTAAGAAGTTACTTTTAATTTAGTTTTCTCATTTCAAATGAACAAAAATTTTTGAAACTAGAAAAAAGCAGACGGTAAGACTTTGTGTTTTTGCAGTGTACAAGAATAGCTGAATCTTTTATTGAAAAATAAGCATCAAAATGCTTCAGAAATTACCTACTGAAACCAAACAATTTATTTATTTCGGTGAATCCAAATCCATAATTCTGCAGCATTTCCATTGAAAAAGCTTCAAAATCCAGATAAAAACAAACAACAAATCAAAGCCTGAAAACTTTGGACCAACAGTGGAAGGTTTGCACAGCTCTGCCCAACTCAGTCTGGATGTTGCTCCTTCTGTTAGCATGTTAGCATCATAAGCTCAGGCGCTCCAGTGTTTGGCTCTGTTAGCTCCAGGTAAGAGGCGGCTAAGCAACGTAAAAAGCTTGAATAGGAAAGTGACCAATGAGACGGGCACACCTTCCCTCACTCACTTCTCCAGTTCAACAAAAATACTTTTCCTGACGATTGGGATCACAGTTCACTTTATGTTTGGCGGACGTGTTTTTCGACACTTCTTTTGCTCCAAAATTAGACGAAATTCAGAAGGAAACGGTTTTGCTGCTCTTGACGATGGGATCTTGTTTCCCCTCTCAGCTTTTTGTGATGCCGCAAAATAAGAGCGGCGAAGGAAGGATGAGATGCGAGAGTCTGACGCAACGGCAACAATTAAACTGCTCCTCCGAAACCTGAGTGACGTTTGACCGCCAACATAAAATGTTTGTGCTGCAAAGATTCGTTTGTGCCGCTACCATTTTAAAGATATTAAGTATTTCAAAAGGTCATGAAAGGTCAACCAGCTCGCTTCCCACTTTCTTCAAATCGAAATAAAATTGATGACAATCAGTTCGACTGTTGGTGCTGCAAAAATTTTCGTTTGTGCTGCTTTTACTTTGGAGATTTTAATGGAAACTTAAAGGTCACCCAGCGCCACAACATTTTGACAATCAACCATTGTTTGTGCCGCTATTGTTTTTAAGATATTAATAAATGTTTCCAAAGGTCATGAAAGGTCAACCAGCCCAACCACTTTCCTCAAATCTAAGAAACAACTCAATTATCTCAACTATGTTTGTGCTGCAAAATGTTTTGTTTGTGCCGCTATTATTTCTGAATATGTTACTAAATGTTTCTAGAGGTCATAAAAGGTCAACCAGCCCAACCACTTTCCTCAAATCTAACAAATGTAGTGTCAATAACGCAATTGTCTCAAATATGTTTGTGCTGCAAAATGTTTTGTTTGTGCTGCTATTATTTTTGAATATGTTACTAAATGTTTCTAGAGGTCATAAAAGGTCAACCAGCTCACTAATTTTGTTCAACTCGACTCCGTTTGTGCTGCAGATTTTTTATTTTTTATTTTTCTTGGAGGATATTAATGAAAGTATAGTCGGCCACATTACCCAAATATAAATATATCATGTTTGTGCAACAGAAAGTTTAATTTGTGCTGCTCTTGCTTTGAAGACGTGGGCGATGATCTCTGGAAATTTTTTTATGACTGTCTTTAACATGATAGCGCCACAAACTGAAATGTTTTGCTGCACAAACATTCGACTCCTCGAATTAAAGGACGATGGGCCAAACTTCACTCAGGTTCCTCCTCAGCTGCAAAACTAGAGACTCTGCCTTTCCTGCAGCAACACAGAGAAAAACAACAAAATTAATTCCTGTTCCTGCGGCTAAAAGATGCTGCGTTAAACTTGCTGCTGCTGCCCAGCCTCTCGTCTCCTCCCGTCTAACCGCTCTCAGGCAAAATCCAACAGCTAAAATGATGGCGAACTTCCAGAGCTTCATCTGTTATCAATGCTGGACTGGAGCTCAATGAGGGAGACCAACACAACGCAGCATTATTACAATTCAGAAGGAAAACAAGGTTTTGTTTTAAAACACTTTTTCAAAATTAGAAAACTGTGGCGTAATTGAAAGCATCTGTGAAAATCCAGTTTTCCGTTTTCTGTCCCCATTGAAACGGTGGCAACAGGCTGATCTAATGCGCTGTGGTTCAAAACCAGAATGAAAAAGTTATCACTTGTTTTATCACGTTGTGGAAAGCGTTCAGTGTTCTGCTGCGTCATGACCGGGTGCGTTACTTTCCCATGTTATTACTAACTGTGTATCTGTAAATTAAAGCATAATGAGCCAAGACTGCCACCTGGTGGTCAAATTTTTAATCAGGTTTGTTTTAGGTTTCAAACATCTGCAGCAAAATGAGAGAAAATGATGATTTTATTTGGCTTTAGATGCAACATTCTTGTTGTTTTTCTTTTGCAGTGCGAAAACTGATCACCTACAAAAACTCACCGTAGAGAAGAAGAGAGGTCATTTGTTTTACTTTGGGGTATCAAAGTCGAAGGGGTGGAATATTCATTCATGCCACACTTTTCTGGTTTTGTTTGTAAAGAAAATCAATATGGCTTCTTGCTATTATGGCGTTTTAGGGCCATTGAGATAGAAAAAAAGAGTAAATTTCAGCTAAGAATTCAAAAATTTTGAGGATAATTTCAGAAATTTTCTAGAAAAAGGTCAAATTTATACATTTTAAAAGTAAAAGAAAATTACTAGAAAATGAATCAAAAAAAATTCTAGAAAAACTTTTAAAATGTCGAGTTTAGAAAGTTGCATTTTTATAAAGTAACCTAAAATGATTAATTTAAAATTCAAAAATTTGCTAGAGAAAAACATCTGAAATGTTGAGATGAATCTCAGAAATATAAGAAAAACTTTTACAATTTCTGGGATTGAAAAGTGAAAACACAGAAATTTCCACATTTGTCTGACATTTTTCTAGCAAATTTTTGACTTTTCAGGCCAATAAATTTCATTGTCGGTTACTTTATAAAAGTAAAACAATTTTTAAAATGTTGGAAAAGTTTTGATGTTCAATTTTTCCTGAAAATATCTGAGATTTTTTTTTTCAAGTTCAGAATTTTCATTTTAAGTTTTTCATAAATGTAAAAAACAAATTAAGATTAACAGGTTAAAAAATTTTGACATTTCAAACATGGAAGTTTCAGTTTTTTCTAGAAAATTTCTGAAATGAATCTCACATTTATTGAATTTTTTCCAGCAAATTGTAGACTTCAATCTGACATTTCCTGAGTTGTTCAGCTGAAATTTACCGTTTTCTCCATCTAAATTGTCCCAAAGCGCCGGGTCGTCTCTCCGCTCGGCTCCAAATCAGTGCTGCGTTTGTGTCGCTCCGTCACGTTGGCCGTTTTTCTCCCTGAGAGCTGTTAGCTTCCTCCCGCTGCACTAGAAGCGACCAGGTAAAAACTGCCAAAGCGTCTCGTTTCCTCACTAAATGACTCCCTTCTGTGTGTTTCTTGTCCTTCTCTGCCTCCATTTCTCCGTCACGTTTGCAGCAGTTCCCGCCCACTGACGCCACGGGCCAGCTCAACCTGTCGGACCCGTCCGTCAGCACCGTGGTGTAGAAACACAAAACACACAGAGAGGGAGAGAGAGAGAGACGTGGAGGCCGTTCAGGAAGCAGCAGAAGAAAAAGACTCCATGTTTCCTTGAGCTGAAAACCTGAAGAAGAAGAAACGACTCTGATGAACTTTGCACCTTTTTTAAAACAAAACCAGTAGAAACAGGATTATCTTTCTGGTCTTAGATGTTTTTAGGATTGCTACTAAGCATGCACGGAAGAACCCATCGTACCCACATATATATCTTTTCCTTATGGATGTTATAACCTTAGCCTTGTTTTGTCCTTTTACTCGCATAAACTTAATGTTCGGTGTTTGATTTGATCGATTTCCTGCGTAGCTTTTAGACAAACGGTTCATTTTAGGGATAAGAATCTGTTTTTGGTGACGATATTTCTCTTCCAATCGAGGCTAAACTAGAGCAGAAGAGTCGACTTGTAGTGCAATACGAAGAGCTGGAGATGAATTATTTTTAATAGGAATTATATCTGAGTTTTTATCGACACTTTAAATGTTTTTAGACATTTTATTGGGAATAATGGCACTTAAAAACGAGCTTCTCATGTCTTCTGGTGAAAATGAAAGCATGTGGCTTGTATATGAAAATGTAGGAGCTTTAAGTATTTGAATGACGATGATTAATGCAATTTCTAGGAACAGTTTATTTGCACTTACATGCCCAAGGCAGTTATTTTAAACGTTAGCAAAAGCTTTGATGACTCAGTTTTCCATTTCTTACAAAAAGGAGACGATAAATGTATTTTCTCTTCCTCTCTCCTGCAGCTGCCGTCTTTCTCACCTCCAGCTTTTGGAAGGGGTTGCATCAAAGGGCCGCGTTTCCCAGCCAACCAGCACTCGGCCTTTCGCGCAAAACCTCGGCGAACTTTTGCACGAAACGACCAGAGTGAGTTGGAAGCCGCAGGCGCGTCTCGGTTGGCTGGGGAAACGGGCCGTTTCCCGTTTTCTGGGGGTGAGAAACGCCTGCTGCCTCCGAGCCGGAGCCACTCTGCACTTTAACCTGATTGGTCTCCTCGATTCAGCTGAATTACTGCAGCAAAACGCTCAAAACTACCCAGAATTCATCTCACTTTCTAACAGAACAAGCTTGTAAAGCCTCCTTTAAGACTCTGCATGCCTCTGTAATGATTACCCAACTTAGTGCTTTTGCTTGTTTCTGCATATTTGCCATGTACAGTGAGCTGAGCTGTGAGAAACTGAATGACATGTAAATATGTGAAGACGTTGAGCTGCAGCTGCAGCAACGAATGTCTGCAGCTGGACTTTTGTACGACTCAGAAACGCGTCCAAACGTGCAGCAGGAAGCCCAGGCGGCCACATCGGCTTGTTTTATTCCGACATTTTCCATCATGTTTTTACTGCTGTGAATAAAAAACGCTCGAACCGAAACGTCTGACCCGTTTCTGAAGAAACAGCTAATGTCACGATTTCACTTCTGTACATTTCCAGATTCATTTCAGAAATTTTCCTGAAGAAACACAAAAAATTTAACATCTCCAAGAAAAACGTCAAACTTTGAGACTCATCTCAGAATTTTTCAAGAAAAACAGAACAAGGCCATTTCTGAGTTTTGCTGGAAAATGTTGAGATCATTCCCAGAGATTTTCTTTTTTTAAAAAGTTTTTTTTTCTTCTTCTTGCAAATATCTGTGGGGAAAAAAACTGAAATTTCGAGATTAATTTTAGAAATTTTCTAGAAAAAACCTGGAAATTTCTGAATATATGTGACAAATTCAATAGAAAAAAACAGAATTTTGAAATGAATGTTAGAAATTTTCTTTAAAAAAACACTTTCATTGAATATTTATGAGAAAATACTTCAAGATTTTGAGACTCAGAACTTTTTTTTTAAAAAAAGAAACTTGACAATTTCTGATATTTGCTAGAGAAACTTAGAAATTTTGAGATTAGTCCCAGAAATTTTCTTAAAAAAAGAAAGCAAACTTGAACATTTGAGGTTATTCTTGAAATTCTTTTTTACAAAAAACTCGTAAATTTCTCAGGTTGAGAAGTCTAACATTTGATAGAAAAAATTCAGAAATTTTAAGATTAATTTTTTAACGACAAACATCCAAAATTTGTGAAGAAAAAGTCAAAAATGTTTATATTTATCTCAGACATTTTCTAGAAAAAATGGGAACTTCTTGAGTTTGAAACATCAAATATTTGCAAGACAAAACTTGGAATATTTGTGAGTAACCTAAAAACTTGGACATTCATGAGTTTTAATAATTGCGATTTTTAGACTTTTGAGCCCATAGAGCTTCCATAAGTCGTAACTTTTTGGTTTTGCAACGTCCTTATATTGTCCTGCTTTGTTCTCAGTTTACAGTAATAAGTTTCACGTGTTTCTGTGTCTTCATCTCTTCATATCTTCATCTTTTACTCCTTGTCGGATCCTTCAGTTTTCTCATCACCTCACGATGCGTTAAACTCAGATTTCAGTGTCGATCGTCGGAGCTCAGAAACCTTTTCATGGGACGTTTAGCCAACGATTCCTGCTGAGATAAAAGCCAAAGGAAACCTGTGAAGCTTCTGCGACCTGCTGCTGTCGTCTCCAAACAGGAGGCGGGATTAACTGACCTGCTGCAGCAGCAGCCATGAGAAGCATCAATCTCAGGGATTATTTCCTCACAAGTGTTTCCACATCATCTGCATATGAAAACATTCAAGTGTGGACGTCAGGAAATGTATTTGCAGAAAGAATCTTTCCCCAAAGTCTGCAGAAGCGTCGCCAACGGTGAACTGTGGGAACAGTTCCCTGTTTTAATATGAGTCTCTGTTTCCTAAATCAGCAGGAAATAGATTTATTTTTTCAAATGTCTTTTTGATGAGCTGAAGTTTGACTTTCCCATAATTTACTGTTTAGAATTTGAAGAAATAAAATGTTTTTAAGAACATTTTAGACATTTCAAACTCAAAAATGTTCAGGTTTTTCCTGAAAAATGTTTGAGATTTATCTCTGAAAATTACTAGTAAAAACTCAAATTTCAAAGTTGTTTTTCATGCCAGAAAGAAAATCTCAACTATTTCAAAAAATAATTGCGAAAAGTGGAACATTGTGAATTGCTGATAGTGATCTCAAAATTGCATTTTCTTTCTTGCATAGTTTAATTTAAAATTAAAATTTATGAGTTTGATAAGTTGAAAAGATTTCAGAAAAAAATCCTAAATTTTGAGATGAATTTCACATTTTAAAAAAGAAAAATATGGAAACTTTTCTCTGTCAAATTGGCACTTTTCAAACTCATTTCAAAGACTGTTTACTAGAAAATTTCTGTGATTAATCTAACATTTTCAGATTTTTTTGGCGAAACCTTTGGAGTTTGAAAAATCCGAAATTTTCTTGGACATTTCTGAGTTTGAAAAGGCAAATATTTAAAACTCAGAAAATTACAGTTTGAGCTTAATAAATTCCCATACTTTTTTTTCTAAAACAAACAAAAAAAAATGTTTGTGAAAGAAAAATGAAAATATCTGAGACAAAAATTTGCAAGAAAAATTAAGAAACTTTGAGATAAATTTCAGAAATTCTCTAGAAAACAATAGAATTTTCTTTGCTTCAAATGTCAAAAAAGTTAAACTTTTTGAATCTGTGAAAATTACTAAAAGTGAAGTTTTCAACTTTTAAATTAAAAAAAATTTTTTTTTTTGTGACAGAAATTTACTGTTGGTCTTTTTTCCCATGTGGAGAATCTAATCCTCAGTCCTGGAGGAACAGACCAGTTCAGAGTTTTACTTGTTGCATAGGACAGTTGAATGCAGCTGCTCTCCAGCGTGGCTCCTCTCTTGGCTCCTCCCCCGGCTCCTCTCCTGCCTCCTCTCCTGGCTCCTCCCTTGGCTCCTCCCCCGGCTCCTCTCCTGCCTCCTCTCCTGGCTCCTCTCCTGCCTCCTCTCCTGGCTCCTCCCCAGGCTCCTCCCCTAGCTCCTCCCCTCCACTGGCTCCCCCCTGGCTCCTCTCCTGCCTCCTCTCATGGCTCCTCTCCTGGCTCCTCCCCTAGTTCCTCCCCTGGCTCCTCTCCTGCCTCCACTCCTGGCTCCTCCCCTGGCTCCTCCCCTGGCTCCTCCCCTGGCTCCTCCCCTGGCTCCTCTCCTGGCTCCTCCCCTGGCTCCTCCCCTGGCTCCTCCCCTGGCTCCTCCCCTGGCTCCTCCTCCCCACTGAATGTAAAGCAGCTCCTGCAGCATAAAGCCATTCCTGACCCACTGGCTCTTGTCTCCCTGGTTCTGCTTCCTGTTGGTACCGAGCCGCTCTGGACTTTGAACCTTCATCTGAGTCAGACTTTAAAATGTCATCATCTGGGCATAAAGAAAGTCTCTCTCCCTTCATGGCTCAGTTTCCCATCGCTCCCATTGTGCTGCTGCTGTTCGGACTGGTCGGCATCCTGCTGCTCACCATCCCCTCCCAGGACGTCCAGGACCCGCCGGGCTTCATGGTAAGGTCCACACTGTAAAACCGACACGTTGGTTTTAATGGGAAAAAGTGAGAGAATTGAACTGAACTCTGATCCGGGTTCTGCTGGATTTAATGCAGAGGATTTTTGGGAGTATAGTGATTTACAAAGTTGACTTTAATCACATAAATTAAGAGGATTTAACTAATTAAACCACTTTTTGATTTGTCATAAAAATAGTTTTTAACTTTCATAAAATGTTTTTTTCTTCTTCTTTAAATTTGTTATGAGACAGATAATCTGTGAAAACACTGATTCGTCCCTGAGCTACTGTTGCCATCTGAAGAAATTAAGCGGACCAAAAACAACCAATCAGAGCCAGGGGGCGGGGCTTAGCGATGCCAATCAAACTCATGTACTCCTTGCCAAACATGCTGAAGGCAGAGAAACAATTTACCCAGACAGGAAAAACGTTTCTCCGCCGTCCTGACTGGCTATGCTAACTAGCCTTAGCATTCACAATATGCTATACTAGCTGCAGTTAGCACTGCAGCTAGTATTAGGACAAGTGAAAAAAGCTCAGTATTGTCACATTTTATCTGTCTCATGACAAACTGTCACAACATACTGACAGTTCCAACAAATATATAAGAACATTTAAAAAAAAAGTTTTATACTGCAGCTTTAAGGCAAAAAGTTAAACTCCAAAACTTTATTAGCCGCTTTTCTATTACAAATCTACGCTAATGTTGAAAAAAAAATCAATTTCACAATTGTGTTGCTTCTATTAAATAAAAAAAAAACTACATTAAATTCACAAATGAATAAGTGTATTAATTACAACCATCATTGTCGTCGTCTTTGTAGTTTCTGCCAGTAGCAACAGGTTGTGGATGTGACTCATGATCTGTAAAAACATTTTTCATTGCAGTGCCAAACTGCACTATTATACGGTCAATCAGTTCAACTTTTTATGCAAGTAGTTTCAGAAAACTTTGGCATTTATACTAAAAAATTAAGCTCAGATTTATTAAATTAACTTGATAATACTTCATCAATTATATTTTGAAGCCACAAAATTTGGCTGTAAAACCAACCAGTGGATGGAAAAAGTGTAACTATGAGGACATTAAGCTCTGAGTACACAGATTAGGGTTATTACTTAATAAATTAGTCATGTTGATATCATTTAGAAACGGTAAAGGAACGTGGGAATTTGATTCTTGTGGCAGAAATCGTTTCACCTGGAGCTGTTTTCACAACACAAAGACAAGAAAGAACTTGTTAGAAACCATAAATACTGCAGACGGGTTTCACCTGTACGACCTGCAGCAGAATCAGAGCCGAGTCTTTACATTTACTCACAATAAACACTTTTTAGTATTTACTTTTTACCTTCATTTGAGTAAAAATGTATTGAGATACTGCTTTCATCCCACAAATCCAATTGAAAAAGAGAAATTATTAACATTTCTAACATTGAATTTATATAATCATGGCTTAGAGTTCATGAAACTTTACATCAGTGTGAAATAAAACCCAAAACAAAGAGGATTTTGAAGGCAGAAATTTCTTATTCCAGCCAACAGTCATAGTGAAGACTGCTAACACTGTACTCAAGCTAATTGCTTAATAGCATTGCGTCTAAGCAAATTAAAGAAAAGTTTAGTGGATGGAAAAAGTATGTCGTAGAAAACAGCACAAACCACAGCAATAATCACAACATTAAAAAAAAAAAAAAAGATTTTTGGCAACAAAAATGAAGCAGATTGAGAAATAGCTGTGGAACTAGCTGTTCTGAGGTGCTGATGCTAACTTCCTGTAGCTTGCTGGCTGCTTTAAATTGGCATCCAGCAAGCTACAGGAGTAAGCACTTCTTGCTTCCTGTATAAGCCAGCTGTACTGCAGAGCTCAAAAAAACTTTCTGATGTCCCTCCTCACTAACCTTTCTATATTACCTAATTGTATTGTTGTTCTTCCTGGAACAGCTAGCTGTAGCATGATGATAATGCTAGCAATTATTTGTGTTTTTAGTACTATTGTTGAAATTCTGTAGTACTTAACCAGTGCTAATGCTAACTTCCTGTAAGAAGCGAGTAATACTCTTTATTACTGCAGTGCTAACCCAAACTTTCTGCTGGCGTTATTAGTGCTAGTGCTAATTTCCTGTAAAAACTATTGCTTTCAATGCTAATGCTAGTTTTCAGTAGTAGCTTTTGTTGCCTTAGTGCTAAAGCTAGTTATCACTAGTAGTTTACAATGTTACAACGCTCTTGTTAGCGTCTTGTAGATATAAGAAGCTAGCTAAGTCATGTAGTATCTAGCTACTGCATGAAGTAGCAAGCTAATACTTTAGTGCTAATGTTTTTGTTTTGTTAGCTGTGTCAGTTCAAATCTCAACTGTAGCAGCTAGCTGTTATGCAGTGATAAAGATGAAGGTGAAGATAATTTATGCAGCCCATTTTCAATACAAAGGCAGTACAAAGTGCTTTACAGGAATGAAAAGGAAATACAAACAAAACAAAGGAAGAGAAAAATAATGCTAACTTCAATGCTATCTTTTCCAACAAAGTGACATGTAAATCAGCGCTTTGCATGTCAAATACAAGTGAATCAAGATCCCTCTGCAGGCATTGCCGAAATAAAAATGTTATGGCTGAAATGTTTCTGTGAAAACACTGATAAACAGCAGATGCTCCGTTAAACGGCAGATAATAATCAGAACTTCACCAGAGAGAAAAGTGAAACCCAGACGCCGAGTTGCTGAATTAACATGAGATATTTCTGAGTTTGTTGAGAAGCTCTTGTTGCTGTTTTGATATTCAGAGCAGGATTTCCTCACAGTTTGGCTCAAGTTTCTACCACATTGTTCTGCCTTCATTATGCAACCAGACTGACAGCCGCAGGTTTTCTTTTGAAGGTTTATTAAAGCTGCTTCCTTAGTCAAACTGGCCCCACGCAAACACAAAGAAATGATTTTCTTACAGCTTCCTGGGAGAGAAACACAACTTTTTTCCCAACAAGTGAAAGGACAAACCAGAGCGTGAAAGCTCATTGTGTCTCCAGTAAGTAGGTTGCTGCAGCTCATTGCACAGCAGAAATGAGAAAACATTTGAAGGAAGAACATGGGAGGAAGTAAGCATGCAGATACACTTTCTACTAACTTTAGGTTTATATTTGCACATAAATATCCTGGTGTTTTATATTCTGCATGGCGGCAGATCCATTGCTCCCCTAGACAATCGGGTTGTTTTAAATAAATGCCTCTGAAGGGGTAAAAGTGTTTTTCTGGTTGCGTCCTCTCAGCCATCCGAACCGGGCCGTAACATCCTTGTATTAATTTGTTTTTCAGGCTGAGAAATATCATAATCAAATTGGAAAAACTGTCATTTTCAACTTTAAAAACTGTGTGTTTTTTTCTGAGTAACTTTAAAAAAATTCTTTGGGGCTTTTATATTTAACCAAAACTATATAGCCCAGCTTTTTAGGTGGACCGGATATAAATATACATTTGGTTTGTATCAGAATTCGATTACGCATTCACACCTCCCCAAACAAAACAGATTTTCTGAAGTGGACTTTAATCGTTTGGTATATTCAGCTCTTTTAGGGATCAAAATTGCAACAATTGTCACATTTTTAGCTGCTGACGTTCACTTTCACACTGAAGAAGCTGCTCCTCTCTTCTTTGTTTTGGTTGTATTAACCCAGAATGCCTTGCGCTGCAGTTCGTTTCCTGACCCCTGGGTTTACCAGAGGTCACCTCATCTGAACTCAGACCCAGGTTTGCAGGTGCTGATCGCTGCCTCCTTGTTCTGTGTTTCTTCTGCAGTATGGGATTGTCCTGGATGCCGGTTCTTCCCACACCTCTTTGTATATCTATAAGTGGCTTGCAGATAAGCAAAATGGCACCGGCGTGGTCACCCAGCACAGCGAATGCTCTGTGGACGGTAAGAATCTGCGCCGGCGCCACTAAAACCAGTGCTTTACATGTCAAATACCAGTCAGGCATAATCCTGGCCTGCAGGGAAACTCATCCAACTGCCACGACGAGTCTGTTTATAAATGGGGAAAGAAAAACAATCACAAGAGATCAATACTTTCACTCTTTTATTACCCACTTTGTCAAATTCACATGATGTTAAAAACCCACTAAGTTAAATGATTAATTGTCGATTATTCTGATGATTAGTCAGTTAATCAGGTGAAAAAATTGCCACATTTTAATTTTTATTTAGCCATCTTTTACGACAATTGATAAAAGCGTTATAGTTAATATAATGTTTATTAAAGCAGATATTGAATTGTTTATTTACATCTTTAAACTTATTTGTAATATTGTATAAAATAAACCCAAATTTGCAGAATCTCCCATTTTTATGTGATTAGTGGATTAATCAATGGAATAATCAACAGAATAATCAATGATTAAAATAATTGCTGGCTTTATTTTGCTCTGAAAATGGCTACCTGTGCAGGTGTCATGGGAACCAGCATTTCTAGCCTTACTGTTGTAAACAAATCCTATCAGTGACATAATAAAACCTGACAGTTTCCATAAATGGTGCAGCACATGTTGTGATCAGCTGATTTTTATGGTTCTCTGACCCACCCTCACCAAGGTGGGGGCATTTCCAGCTACGCTGGCCGAGTCGGAGCGGCGGGCCGAAGCTTACGGGCGTGTCTGAACCGGGCCGTTCAAGAGATTCCCAAAGAGAAACACCCGAACACACCTGTGTACCTGGGAGCCACGGCCGGCATGAGGCTGTTAAGGTGAGTCACTGTGTTTCAGCTCCTTACGCCTTCGAGATTTTATGCTTTGTTTACAGCACACATGTCGAACTGAAGGCCAAATCCGGCCTGCCGTAAAGTTTAATGTGGACCAGAACCATCGTATGCTTGAATAATATTTCTCAACTACCTAAAAGCAGATCTCAACGGAAGATTAGGGGCACCAGTTCAGACCTCTTTATTAGAATTCACCAGATTTATTCTTACTTTAACCTTCCAAGACAAAAAAAATGTCAGAATTCTGAGAAAAAAGTCAAAAGTATGAGAAAAAAGTCAAAATTATGAGAAAAAAGTCAAAATTATGAGAAAAAAGTAAATAAAAAAAAATTATGAGAAAAAGTAAAAACTATGAGGAAAAAAAGATAAAATTCTGATTTTAAAAAGTCAAAATTTTGGGGAAAAATGCATTTTGAGAAAAGTCAAAATTTTGAGAAATAAAATTAATTCTGAGAAAAAAGTCAAAATTTGAGAAAGTCTGAATTTTGTGAAATGAAATCAATTATGAGAAAAAAGATCAGATTTCTGACAATTAAAATGAGAAAAATGTCAAAATGTTATGAAAAAGTCACAATTCTAAAGAAAAAATAGCCAATTTATGGGGAAAAAAATCAATTATGAGAAAAAAGTCAAAATTCTAAGGAAAAGTAAAATTTCTGGAGGAAAAAATACATTTTAAGAAATGAAATAACTTCTGTGAAAAAAGTCAGAATTTTGTTAATAAAATTAATTATGAGGGAGAACAATCACATTTCTGAGAATTAAAATGAGAAAAACGTCCAAATCTTATGAAAAAAGTCAAAAAATTTGGGGAAAAATCAATTTTGAGAAAAAAAATCTAAATTCTGAGAAAATGTCAAAATTCTGGAAATGAATCTGATTTGGAGAAAACTTTGATTTTTTTTCCAGGATGTCCAGTCCGCAGCAGTCGGATCAGGTTCTGGCCGAAGTGGGCGGTGAGATCCAGTCGTTTCCGTTCAGCTACAGAGGAGCGGTGATCCTGAGCGGACAGGAGGAGGGCGCCTACGGCTGGGTCACCGTCAACTACCTGCTGGAAAACTTCATCAAGGTGCCGACACTTTTTCACCTCCCAGCAGGAAATACAAGCCAAGTGAAACCAAACAAACCCAGTTTCATTCAGGGGCCTTGAAATCCTTGAAAAGGCTTGAATTTCAATTTGAAATTAAAATCCTAATTTTGGAAAATGTCACTTTCAGTTGAACCCAGATATTTTCATACACCTAATAAAAAGAGAGATACAATTTTTTCCTCTTTCTCTGAAGTTAAATCAGACATAAAGTTTCTTGTTTTAGGTCAGTTAACGTCACTAAAATTATTTCTATTTGCCTAATGCCAGAAAAACTCTTGTGTTTAATTTGAGCAGGAAGTTATTTTACATTATTTGTTTGGATTGTTTCAAAATGTCCATTATTTTGTTAATTGACCATCTTATATTTTATACATTTTATTTATTGACGTTAAGATGCTTTATTCTCAGACCACATTGCAAAAACAAAACCTTACCAAGTATGTTTTCTTTAGTTTCTACTGTAAATATCTCAGGACACTTGAAATAAGACAAAAATAACTTACAAGCAGCTTTTCATCAAGAAACAGCAGCTATTTTAAGTCAATAATCCCTGAATACCGTTGAAAAATCATAAGTTACTCTGTCAGATTATTTAACTTATTACAAGACATTTTTTCCCGTATATTAAATGAAATAATCTAATCCTGGAACTAGTCATTTTTATCAATATTAAGGAATTATTGACTCAAATCAAACTCCTATATCTTCCTGATAAGTTACTTTTAAGTTTTATGTGCATATAAACTAGACTAAAAACACTTTTGTGTTTTTGCAGTGCAGTCATGCCTGTTTGGTGTAAAAACATCAACTTAAAACAACAGGAAATAATGTCATATTTCACTGAGTTAAAACAGCCGTTTTTTGGTTTATTTGTGTTGTTTTTACCTGGTGAATGTTTGGATTTTAAGTGTTTGGACGGGTTTGTTGTGCAGTTCGGGTTTGTGGGCCGCTGGTTCAGCTCTGGCAGAGCCACCGTGGGGGCGCTGGACTTCGGCGGCGCGTCGACGCAGATCACGTTCGCTACTCAGGAGAAGGTGGAGGACGAAGCAAACAGGAAGGAGCTGCGTCTCTACGGCCATGACTACGCGCTGTACACTCACAGCTTCCTGTGCTACGGCCAGGATCAGCTTTTAAAGAAACTGCTGGCTCAAATCGTGAAGGTAAGAACGAAGTTTCTGCTCTCGGTGCCTCCAAATTTCTCAGTAATTTGCCTGAAACTGATTTGAGGTCACAGAATTGTGACCAATCAGTGAAGGGACAAAAAAAAGTATAAAATGTGAAAGTTTCCCTTAGTTCTACATTGTGGTTTAAATCAAGGATGTCCAACTTGTGGCCCGGGGGCTGTTTGTGGCCTTCGAATAAATTTGTGTGGCCCCTGACTGCAGATCAAAAATGGTGAATATTTGAACTTTTTGCAATTGTGTTAGAATAAGATTTCAAGCTTATACCTTCCTAAACAGAAAATGTTAATTAAGTACAACTAGGGCTGAATAAGCAATTAATAAAAATCTTCTTTTATTTTTATTTTATATAATTCAACAAATTTTTACTCAGAAACACTCTTGGGCACAACCATCTGTTATTTAATAGATGATTGTCCTGTATTATTTAAAACATCTTTCTTTGCTATTGGAAGATGAGTATTTCCAGCACCCTCTGCTGGACAATATGAGGAACTTCAATAGAATATTATCATCTACCTTTCAAGTCACATTAATCATATACTCACCTTTTGTAATCTTACATTTCAGTCTGAAAGTTGAACATTTGACATGTTATAGTCAGCAGCTTTTGTAATTTATTGACTCTAATCCAATATGTCCGCCTGGTTTGTGTGTTTCAGTCTCAGGGTTACACTCCGGAGGTCAGTCATCCCTGTTATCCTGCAAACTTTACCAGGTCGCTGAAAATGGCAGATATCTTCGACTCGCCGTGCACCGTGCAGTACAAACCTGACTCCTACAACCCTCAGAGGAGCGTGACGCTGCTTGGCGGCGGACATTACGAGAACTGCTTGGGCAACGTGTCCAAACTCTTCTCCTATGATGGCTGCCCCTTCTCGCGGTGCTCGTTTGACAAAGTCTTCCAACCAAAAGTCACCGGCGACTTCATGGTGAGAAAGGCTGAAGGAGTAAAGATTTGTGAAACTAATTAAATATAGCTTTAAAATTATATCTTGAAGATTTATGCTTCACTCACATCGAGATGCTGGATGCTTAAAACTGACTTTATAACCTACTTTTTGCTTATATTGGCTCACATTTTTCTGACCAGTTGAGCATAAAAAGTTAATTCTGTCATCTGGGATCTGTGAGGCTTTGGGTTTGTTTTTCTCCCAGATACCTTAGAAATGTCTTTTTGTGTCCAAACTTTTGCATCATAAGCCAAAATCCCCAAATTTGAACATCTTCAGGGCCCAAAATGTGCTTTTTCTCTCCCATCAAACACAAAAAACTAATATTATTGTGAATTTGTTTTCCTTTTCCTGCACAGCAATGTATTAAAAAAACTATATAGTGATGAAACCAACACCAGTATGACATTTGCCTTAATGTTTTACATTTAACTTTTTAAAGTTTAATTATTTTCTATTTTGTTGGGCTATAAAATGTTCATAAAATGAAAATTTTTCTTTTAAATTTTGACATCTATAAAAAAAAGTCACATGATTTTTATATGAAATATAAGAGAAATGCTAATAGGTGAACTTTGTGTGCATTTAACATTTTCAGGTTAAAAATACATCAGTTTTGTTGGGCCACACAAAATTGTCCCCAGGGCTACAAATGGCCCCCGGGCCACACTTTGGTCTCCCCTGGTTTAAACCACAATGTGTGGAAAACATCCAGCTTTTGGCTCTGAAACTGATTTTAACTATAATCAAACCAAAACCAGCTGATTTCTGATAGATTTTATTGATTGGTGATGATCTATTATTACTTTTGCTTGTTTTTTATTTTTATTTTTTTGTAACTACCACTTTAAATCCACTGTGTTTCATTAGAGATTGGTTGCCAGGCAACAAGCAAAGCGCTGCAAACTTGCTGCGCCTTGCAGGAAAATGAAGCAGCACATGTCCCTCAGTGGAATCAGATGCTATTAGCCCTGAAGCTGCAGATTAAAAATGCACCGAGGCGCATAAATTATGGACACGTCAAAACAAGATGAGGGAAAATTCAGGCGTAGAACTCTGTTCAGCCCCGAGGCGCACAGGAAAACATGGAACTGTTGTATTGTCTGCGCTCTGATTTAACCAGTTCCTGCGTCTAAACTCTCGATTTTTCTTTTTTTTTCTTCACCACCAGGCGTTTTCTGCTTTTTACTTCATTCACTCATTCCTGCAGAAGGTCACAGGGGTCAAGATCAGTACGCCGCCGCAGCTGGAGGACGCCGCCAAGACGGTGTGCAGCATGAACTACAGCCAGGTAAGCGATTTAATCTGACAGTTTAACAGATTAATATCACCTGGAGGTCAGCAGAGAACCCAAAAACTGCACTCAAGTAGGAGCAGGACTAAAGTAGTCATTCAAGAAGTTACTCAAGTAAGAGTAAAAAACTGAAGTCCTGAGTAACTGATAAAATTTGATGCTTTTCTAATGGTGGCCACCAGGGGGCGCTGTGGGAGCCTTGGAAAGATGGAGTGCAGATGAGAAAGAAATTAAAAATCAATCCTATAAATCATTTAATCTTAAACTTTTAATAATTAGATTTGTTTTCTGATGTTTATTATTTTTAACAACTAATTGTCAATCAGAAAATTATGCTCATAAGCATTTAAAATCAGGCAATTAAAAACATTTATTTTTGAAAAACTAAATATTGGAAAATATTTAGTTTTTTAATGAGAATTAAAACACAATAAAAAAGTAAATTTAATAACTAAAAATATTTTTAAAAATGTAATATTAACAATATTTAAAACTAAATATGACAAATTAAGAAATGTGTTTGCAAGCTAACTGAAAGTTTAGCTTGGAGACAAATATTTGGACATAAAGTAAATATTCAGTTTGAAGCTGGATATATAGCTTGTCAACTTCATATTTAATTAGCAGGCTAAACATTTAGCTTCAAACTAAATATTTATTTCTGATCCAAATATTTAATGTGAATCTAGATATTTAGTTTCCCAACTAAATATTTAGTTTGAAGCTGGTTATTTTGCTGACAAACTATGAATTTAGTCAGCAAACTATATGTAGACTAAAGCTCCTAATAAGCTGAACATTTAATGACTATTTAAACTTCTGTTTAGCTGCAGATAATGTCGGTGGGAGAAAAACCTGATCGTGAGAAGGATTACTGCGCCAGCTCTGTGTTCCTGAAAGCTCTGTTGCTGAGAGGATACGGCTTTGACGACGCGTCGTTCCCTCACATTTCCTTTAAGAATACAGTAAAAAAAACACACACACACAGCTTTTAAATGAATAAGTGAGGTTTGGTGATGCTCAGTCGTCAGTTTGGCTGTTTTGTTCTGCAGGCGGGCGACGCGACGGTGGGCTGGGCTCTGGGCTACATGCTGGTGCTGAGCAATTTGCTGCCTGCAGAAAGCGCCGGGGTGAGGAAAACTCTCACCGTCGGAGCCTGGGGGATGCTCCTCTTCCTCTTCATCGCCCTCATCATCATCTGCGTCTTTCTGCTGTTTCGAGCGCGAAGCAAGAGGAAGAAAGGAGGTGATGAAAACGCCATCTAGATACAACATCACGCCTCCACAGCTGTGAAGAAAAGAAACAAACAGGACTTTTGGTTTTTGTTGTTATTGTTTCTTCCAGTAACTTCAGTGTATATCTGCTTCCCCATCACCTGCAGGACTGGCATTTGTTTGAAGTGTTTGGTTTTTTTAATATTAGATTCATAGTACAACATAATCTTTCAGTGACACCAGACGGCCAAAACGTTTGAATTTAATATGGCTGTAATTTAATATGGCTGTTTTGCTCTGGTTTATAAAGCTACACTGTCCAAAAGGAACAGCAGTATTTTGGGTTATAAATGGGTTTTAAATAATAAAAAGGGGGGAATTTAAAAAAAATGTTTTAACATATTTTCAACATGTTAATCACACAATTATAAATATTAGTCTAAAATTAAATATGTAATTAGAAAAACAAAAAATTTGATTACACACTAAGAACTTTGTTAGTAAACAGAATATTTTGTTCCAAATTAAATATGTAGTTTGAAGCTAGATATATAACTAGAAAACTATATATTTAATTAGCAGGCTAAGTATTTAGCTTTAAACTAAATATTAATTAGCTAAGTTTATGTGTAGCTTTTTTGATTTCACAGTTAAATCAAATAGTGTCCAAACAGGATGGCAGAATGTATGCTGAATAAAAATGTTGTTTGTCACCATTACTGTAGATCCTGACTGGGGTTCCTTAAATGTTTAGTCTGCAAATAGATTACAGAATGTATATCATGAATGATTGTTAGTGATTTATTTATGGTATATTGAACTATGGACGTTGAACCTGGAGCAGTGAAGCTGCAGATGTCAAACTTATTCAGCCTTGTTTCAATGATCATTTGTATTAGATGTAAATTTATTCAATAATTAACCAAAGTTTTTTTGTTGTTGTTGTTTTTTTTTACATTTATTGTAACTCTTTTGTGGCTCTATTTTTAGAAAACCCTGTTTCAAAACACATTTTTGGCGTTTTGTTAGCCAAAAATGACCCTCACAATATGGCGGGTGTCTTGACGTATAGTTGTTACAGGGGAGTGAACAGCAGCTTCCTGTTAGCCTTCAGAATAAAAGCCAAGTGAAAAAGATAAACGCTTTCTGTCTTAACGTTTAATAAAATAATAGAAACAATTCGCGATTTAGCTATGTAGTAAACATTTCTGCACTCTTAACATGTAGCCTAAATGACGCAGTTTACATAAAGTCTTCAACTTGTTTGCACAAACCGGAAGTGACCGTGTTTTCGGTAGCAGCATCATGGCGGCGCAGGTTTGAGAGCACTTTGTTTTCATTTTTCTTGTAACGTCCAACTACAATCTAAAGGTCCGCAAGGGGGTTTCCTTTGTAAAGTAGCAGGGGCTGGAGTTTGATAATAAAGTCCGATCTTTCGGTCTGCTGTTGCTTGCTTTGGTGCTCGGTTGGCTGAAGAATTGGAAGATGTGCTCCCAGACCAAAGCAGCGGCTGTCATGGCTAACATACCGCGGACAGACATCGACCCTTCGGGGTTTTTAAATACATCGTGATCCGGGTTTATAGCCGAGAGGAAGGAGACGACTCGGAGATAGATATAGTCCGAGGATACGGCTGGGCTGAGTACCACGGTGAGTGCGGAAACAGACATAAAACACTTTGTATGGAGCTAAATTTGGGCCATAAAGTTTGCTAAAAATGTGTTGCTGTTTTTTTTTTTTTTATCTTAGAGTAAATAAATACAAATTTAAAACTGAAAAATAATTTTGAAACAGCTGCGGTTCTTTCTGGGATTCTATAAATTTCTCTGACACATTTTGCCATCAAGACATGCGTAAAAGCAATTATTCATACTAAATAGGCTGTATATGAATTTTCTGATATTTTTAAACTCCGACAATGCCAATTTTATCAAATATTATCGAGATGTTTCTTATGTTATATATATATATATATATATATATATATATATATATATATATATATATATAATTCCCTTATATATATATATATATAAATTCCCTTTTCACCCACTGTGGGTGGTTCTGATCCGCTGAGCTCGGCTCCTCTACCAGAGGCCTGGGAGCTTGAGAGTCCTGCAGTATCTTGGCTACATCTAATACAACGGCTTTCCTCTGTTGTTTATCAGAGGAAATCCGGAATATAGATATATTTTTATAGACATTGTATATATAGTGCCCGTCTCTAGGCAATCGTGACGTTCAGCATCAGTCCGTAGTGTTCAGGGGTCCTGAACGCCACGACAGCATAACTGACCTTAATATTTACTGTTTTGTTTTGGTCATTATTGTTAAACTTAATGTTGATGTGTTTATTATAGGCGTGCCTATGGGACAGTTACGTATCGGTTCAACACGGGACGCATATTTAACGGCCAAATATGGGACGGCTCCCTATTTTACGGGATGGGCGGCGATCCTATTCAGGGTTGCTGAGATACAGTTTTGAGGGAGCAGAAAACCACCAACACAAAAGTTCAATCACATAGAAATCTACTGTTGATCTCTTCATGTTAAATAAATAAAAAGTATTATTTAAGTATTTAGTCGTTATTTCAGCTTGACTCACGCAGAACTGATCTGATCGTTTCCACAGCAACGATCAGAAGCGGGATGTCTCGTTCACCCGAGACATCCCGCATACCGCCACGTCCCAATGAGAACGAGTCTGTGTGGAGCACCAGCTGGAAAAGGTTGTCCCATCAGTTTAAAGATTACTTTGAAGACCCACTCGTCCAGCCAGAGGAGGCAATTGTGAAGAAAGAGGAGAAATTTGGTCATAAGAAGTTGGAACAAAACATGAAACGCGTGGAACGAGACGCCATTCCGCTGCAAAACTTCTTCAATGACCTGGACGTCTTGTTCAACTGGACCTCTGGGTACTTCTCTTCATTTTGGTTCATCACCTACTTGTACACAGCGTGGCGTGGCTGGACGAGAAGATCCATCAGGTTCTGGACGTTCTTCATCAAGCCCAGAACCTGTTCGGACTTACGGCTGACACTCTCGAGAAGGCAAAAAATTTGTTCATGTGGGTGAATCCAAAGACAACGGAGAAGTTTTACGTTTCACTGTGGGTGTCCTTTTTCTTCACATGCTTCTTACCTTATCGGATGATGGGATCCATCTTAGTTTTTTCTGACGGGTTAAAGTTCTTTGTTGTTGACTTCATCTTTAACCGTTACCCCGCCCTAAAGCAGCGTTATGACACCTTTGTAATTCTCTGGGAAAGTTTACCCATCGACTCGGAGCTGCAGGATCACAAAGACCACAAGCGCCACAGCCTGAGCAGTCGGTTCGCTGCAACAAGGGCTCGACTGAGCAGCTTCAGTGCTGCTCATTTCAGAAACTGTGGCAGCCCTTTCCATTTCAGAAAAAAGAAAAAGCCTTTTCATGTGACGTTTAGCATTCCAGAGAATGAACAACCTCTGCCTGATTATAAGACCGGCTGGCACTGCTGGATGGTAAACAGAGACAAAAAAATGATGTCAAAAGAATTCGCCAGTTACGGAGTTCTCTACATCACTGAGAACTATTTGTGCTTTAGGAACTCCATGAATAAGAGCAACACAGCCATAAAATTGACGGACATTGAACACTTCAAGAGACATAAACTTATATCAGCACTGCCCGGTTCAGGTAGGGGGATATCGATAGGAACGCGGACCACCAAAAAGCCTCTGGTGTTTACTGCTATAATACACAGAGAACGTGTGTATCAAGCCATCTCCTCCCACATGAGAAAAGTGTTTGAACAGGCAGGTCTGCAGAGTGCAAGTATAGAGTGACTTGCACTCTGGTACTGCAGCGACTCGGGAGGAGCACTAGAAGGCGACGACTCGGGAGGAGCACTAGAAGGCGACGACTCGGGAGGAGCACTAGAAGGCGACGACTCGGGAGGAGCACTAGGAGGCGACGACTCTGGAGGAGCACTAGGATATCACATATATATATATATATATATATATATATATATATATATATATATATATAGATAGATAGATAGATAGATAGATAGATATATATATATATATAAGCTGACTGGATAGCTCAATACATAAGGCATCAGTATATCACCCGAGAGGGCAGGGTTCGAATCCAGTCTGGGTCCTTAGGCAAGACCCTTCAAGCTACTGCCTACCTCATACCATGAGAGATACTAAGTTGCATAACATGCTGGCTCAGACGTCGCCCGGCCAAACAAGGTCTGCGTCAGGTGTTGGGGAACCAGAGCACCTTGATGACAAATGGGCTACTGGAACAAGACGGAAATGGGCGAGAGATGAAAATGTGGATCTGTTGGAATGCTACTACTCAAGTAACCCTAGTCAGAGGGGTTACATGCAAAGACTGGGGAAGGAATGGTTACTTCGACATCCCCAGTCAACACTAAGCGCTAAACAACTAGTAGCTCAGTGTTCCAACATCCGCAAACGGCAACTGCTATCACAACTTGAGATTGACGAGATACAACACAAATGCTACGGCAAAAGGGAGGAACCCGGATGTCAGGACTGTGGGGACTTAACTACAAGTCCCCACCCAGTGAGGGGATACACGGCCCCAATGAGCGAAACAGAGCTGAACGAGACAGCTGCTGACCTGAGAGAGAGAATCATGACCCGAATGACAACCAGGCCTCCCCGGCGCCAATTACAACGGCTGAGTGAAGTACCATCTGAAAGTCTCATTGAGAATGTGAATGCAGCATTGAGAACGATCCCTACCAACACCATAACAGAAACCAATGAGCTGATCTACAACTCAGCATCAGTGATCCTTGAGATACTTGGCTATAAGAGCAACCATGAGACCCAATACCCACCATGGAAAAGACGGTTAGAGGCTAAAATCAAGGTAACAAGGAGGGAAGTGAGCCAACTGTCAGAGCTCCACAAGGGTGCAATGAAAAGACCAGTACCCAGAAAGTACAGGCAGATGCCCATACCTGAAGCACTTGAAACTGCCAAACAGAGGCTCCAAGCCTTGTCCAGCCGCCTAAAGAGATACACAAGGGAGAATGAATCCAGAAGGATTAACCGGCTCTTCTCCACTCAACCAGCTAAAGTGTACTCTCAATGGCAGGGTAACAATAACAACAGAGCAGACCCACCAAGGCTGGAGACGGAACAATACTGGAAAGGCATATGGGAAAGGGAGGCGTCCCACAACAGCAATGCACAGTGGCTGATCTCTCTACGAGAGGACCACAGCAACCTCCCTGAGCAAGCCCCGGTAACCATCACTGTGACAGATGTCCAAGAAAGAGTCTCAGGTATGAAAAACTGGACAGCACCAGGGCCTGACATGATCCATGCCTACTGGCTAAAGAAACTCACTGCTCTCCATGAGCGAATGGCAGCCCAAATGAACCAGCTGCTACAAAGTGGGACTCACCCTGAATGGTTAACTGAAGGGCGGACAATCCTAATCCAGAAGGATCCATCAAAGGGTCCAGTCCCACCCAAATATATATATATATATATATATATATATATATATATATATATATATATATATATAGCCCTATCTATCTATCTATCTATCTATCTATCTATCTATCTATCTATCTAATAAAAGGTAATAAAATACTCGTTTCCATCTGTATACCAATGTAATTTACAATAAAGTGTACGTTTCTATTATTATTCTTGAAAAATCAGAAGCGTTTTGTACTATAGCTTGGCATTTTGAAATGACAAAAAAAAAAAAAAAATATATATATATAGCCCTGAAAAACAGGACTATATATAGATATATCTATATATATCTATAGCCCTATCTATCTATCTATATGGATAAGAACCACCCATGGTGGGTGAGAAGGGAATTTTATATATACCAAATTTTTTTATTTTTACATGACAATTTAAAGATTGACCAGCTGACAACATATATTCACATGGTATAAAACATCAAATCATGAAATTTCATAGGAAATTTAAATAAATGGAATTCAAAATGACTTGTTCTGTGTTCATCCATACCAAATAATAAACCTGTAAAAGTGATAATTGCTTTTTTTTTTTACTTCAGTTTGCACTTATTTGATAAAATAGTCTGTTTTTCATTTGCAGGTGATATCTACGATAAGGTTTCCGCGGAGCTGGAGGACGGAGGCCTGCTGGACTGCGAATGTGTCGGAGGAGGCAGGATAAAACATAATCCAGACGCCAAGAAGATCCATGTGTACGGATACTCCTTGGTACGGAGAAACAATGTGCTTTTTTAAAAATTACTGTTACAGTACTGGAGGTTAATGTTTGGCTTGTTTTTCAGGGCTATGGAAGAGCAAACCATGCAGAGACCACAGAGAAACTGAAGGAGAAGTACCCAGACTATGAGGTGACCTGGGATAACGAAGGCTACTGAAATAAATAGCATTAAGTATTCTGGACTGTCATTCAACTGATAAATAGACACTTCATCAACTATTCACTGCATCAAGAAGGGACAACTAATGCATAATTGTCATTGTTTGACATCACACAATCTCATTTATTGTTTTTACAACCTCCTTCGGTTGTGCTAATGTTCAAGATACTACCTAAATATTAGCGTAATCAGTTTTTAAGTCCAGATTATGTGGAGGAAAACATTTAAATGTTGATAGTTCTACAGGATGAACATTGTGTTTCCAACTCTTTATTGAAAAAGAGTTGAACTCCTACTGTAGTAAATGTAGTAAATAATTAATAAAATACATCATTTTTTTGTTTACATTTGATGTAATGGTCCTTTGCTATATTTTGTTTCCTGCATTATTTCACAGTTCTAATTATAAAGAAACCTTTCGATTAAATTTACTTTGGATTTTGGTTAAAATTGGTTTTCAACCAAAATTAAAATGTACATTAAATTTAATGTACATTTAATGTGTTTGAATGCACATTAAATGCACAACAAGTCCGCCTGTTGTGCAGCAGTATATCTGCTGCTCAACAGAGTGTGCAGTCCAAAGGTCATACTGAATCTGAGATTTCCAACCAGTAAGAAACTCAAATTCGTGGCAGTTTTTCCTGTATTTCAAATTGGGAAGTCAGACCAAACAACTTTGAAATACACCAGTAAAAGCTTTTGAGGTTCTGAAAAGGCAATTCTCCAATCCACTTCATGAACAACTGCTTCTTGTTTTCAAATAATAAAGCCTATGGAAGCCCATTTCTGCCGAGAAAGGGGGAAAAAAAAGCCCAACACGAAGTCGTACTAACAATTACAAAAGAAAGCATTTCAGTTTTCAAAGATATTATGAGATTATGAAGAGAGAAGTGATAAGCCAAATGAAAATGGCTGTTAATATTTGGAATTGTGGCCAACACGAACTGAATGGTTTCATTCACTTCCTCCTCTGCCATTGCTAAAAGTACAGTCAGACTGCAATTCTAAAACAACAGAAAATCAACATTATCGTTGACAACGTCTCCTCTGTTTCCTGATTGGCCTGGTTTAAATTCCACCAAAGAAATCCAAGTCAATGAGAGAAAATCTAGACAGAGAGAGATGAGAATTCAACTGATTTTCGAGGGAGCGGAAAATGTGCAAATCGACTCCAGAGCTGTAACTCAAAGATCTTGTGAAGATATTGCTGAATCAGGTAAGATATTGTCATTATTTACATTGAAATGTTTTGTACATGTGCTGAATTGCCAAACAGGAAGGAGAAAGTCATTAAAGAACATAAAAAGGCTATTTCCTTTATGATATATTAAACTTAGTTCTTCTTACATTTAGTTCCAGCATGTACAAATATCTCTTGAGCAATATACAGCTGTTCGATGTTCCTCGGGGGTGATTTATGGTTGTCACTTGCATGCTGGGTAATTTTAAAGTCCGCCTTTTATCTCTGGGAAATAAAGGTCGATTCAGCTGATGAAATTTCCACGGACAGTTTTCAGACTGAGATGTGAAGGAAGGGAAAATATGCTGCGTTTTTGGCGCTCGACTGTCCTGTTGCTGTTGTGTTTGCAGTGCGGTAAGAGGAAATTCAAAATTATTCTAAGTTAATGTCTTGGGAGGTTGAAAATTGTTTAACTTTAATTAAAATAATAAAAAAAATCAACACTCAGAGATTATATCAGCTTCAAATAATGAAAATTAAAGAGAGTGACCTATTGGTTGAATACGTCTCTGCAAAAACACATCTTTCCAAGTAGCTTTTGTCTAGTGTCCATGCAAATATATTATTTCACTCCAAATAAGGGAAGCATTACTTAGTAACTTTTCAAAAATATTTTTTGTTAAAAGTCAACAGTCCAATAATACTAACAGTTATTTTGTTTAAAACATTGGGGAAAAAAGTCTAATAAATGGCGTATGCTGCTCTACAATGAACCAAAGAGTATGTATAGTCATATTTAATAAATTGTTACTGCAAACAATATTTTGGGAATACAGATGAATTTCTAACACACTGATGTTTAAGACCTTTATTTCTGTTAATTATGATAATTTTCCACTTACAGTAAATGAAAACATAACTTTTCATATCAGAAGCATCAGATCAACTAAACATTTTATTATAGAAATGTCAAAAGTATATTTACTATTCTCTGGCCTTTGAGTCTGATGCATTCTGGGTCATTCATACTTCATGTAAGATTTATAGTGGAAGCATCAAACAGAAGGAAATAACACTTCTTTGTTTCTTTGTTGTTTTTTTTAAATAGATTTGATTCAGATTAGGATGTTAAGCCAAACTGCAGCATTTAGGGAGATATTAGTTTGGAGAATCATAAACAAATTAAGCTAACAGCTGCACATAGCTGTTGCTAAGCTAACTCGTGAAAAAGCATTTTATTTTGTAACTGATTTGGTTGTTTTATCAGGGACAGAAAATGTCAGCATCTGCTACCATATGTTTTATACAAAAAAACAATTCAAAGGTTTCTAATACTGCGTTTTATGAATTGCCAATCTACTCATAGGTCAGATCTACTAAGTAAATTATACATATATGCTACAAGTTAAAGGTTTGACTCGTTATTATGAGATAACTCTCGAATCAACTACTTAAATTGGCTAAACAAAATGTAGGTTAGCATCATTAGCTTAGCTTGCGTCAAGACGGGAACTTCCACCTATTAGTTTTAAATTGATTATAGTTACCAAAATGTGTCATCAAAAATAAAATCTTGAAAAGTGAATGTGCTTGCACTTAATATGTATTCAGCTACTGACTAAATTTCACTGGATATTTTTTGCGCAGTTTGTGCTTCGGGGTCTTCACGGTGTGAGACTCCTGAAGGAAAATGTGACTTTGTGTGTGATTGTTCCGACTGTAGCGACGAGCAAAACTGTGGTAAGTGTAAGCTACTAGCCGTTAGCCTGCTAACTGCACGACAGGCTAACGGCCTTAGTTAGCAGGCTAACGGGTAATACAGTCCAGCCATAAGTAGTACCGAATGTAAATTGACATATGACGTTTTCTTGAAAACTAAACTCTCCAAAGGATTCTCTGGAAAAACATTTGAGTGTGACTTTGAGGATGAGGGAGTGTGTGGATGGAAGATTGAATCTGTTGGTGAGGGAAACAAATGGCAGAGAGTTCAGAGCGGGGACGGGCTGCCGGAGAGCGGACCGACCTCGGACTTCACCACCGGCACAGCTACAGGTGTAAAATTACATTTTCTTACACTTTTACACAACACAGAAACAATAGTTGAAGTATAATAGGCTTCCTGAAGACGTCTGGAGAATTTTTGCCAAGAAACTGATTGAAAACACTTTATTAAGTTTGTCTCAAAATATTCATTATGTTATGTTCGTTGTCTTCAGATCTTAAAACAATCTTTTCTCAATATGTTTATCCCTGATTATTTGTTACTGATGCACTTTTGTGTGCAGTGCCTTGCAAAAGTATGGACACCCCATAAATCTTTCTTACATTACAATTAAAATGAGTAAAAAAGGAAAAAAAAAGTATCATGAAAATTATGCATGGAAAATAATTATGCAAAATAATTTTATTTTAAAAAATTCAGTCATTTAAATCTTTTCATACACACGAAGAAAATAATGTTTAAATTTTTCTAACTGAACAACAAATATTTTAAACATTTGTCTTCACCTTAATTTTTTATTCATTAATCTGAATGGTGTGGCATGTATTTTTTATGGAGCACCCTTCTATTCAAAACTTTACTCATCAGCGTTTCAAAACATGATGAAAAATACAATAAAGTTTCTGGTTGTAATATGACAAAATGTTCAAGCGGTACAATACTTTTGAAAGGCACTGTAAATAAAATATGTTGCTGTTAAATATCATGAACATATCAGGTGATAATAAAGCCATGCATATTAGCTGGTAGTGTTACGCATCATTGGAACAGATCCTTCAATAAACTTTGATCTTTATAGCTTAAATGAAAACATTTATTGTCTCCTGCCATCCAGGCTGGTTCATGTCAGTGAGTGCAGTGGGGGCAGAGTCTCTTCAGAGTTCAGTTTTAATCTCTCCGGAGATAAAGGGCTCTTCGCCGACGTGCCGCCTGCGACTCAGATACTTCCTGTGGGACTCAGGTAACCGTAGACGTCTCGGCATTGAAACACCCTAAACATTCACTGGTACAAGAAAAAAACATGTGAACGTGTGAAAAGCTTGAAAATCAGTTATTTTATAAATTGCAGGAATGTTTAGTTACAATGTAGAATTTGGAGAAATGTGAGCCTTAAATTTAGAGGAAAAATATTAATGTTTCCATAGACTGGAGCCACAATTCATATCAACATCCATCCATCCATCCATCCATCATCCATCCATCCATCCATCCATCCATCCATCCATCCATCCATCCATCCATCCATCCATCCATCCATCCATCCATCCATCCATCCATCCATCCATCCATCCATCCATCCATCCATCCATCCATCCATCCATCATCCATCCATCCATCCATCCATCCATCCATCCATCCATCCATCCATCCATCCATCCATCCATCCATCCATCCATCCATCCATCCATCCATCCATCCATCCCATCCATCCATCCATCCATCCATCCATCCATCCATCCATCCATCCATCCATCCATCCATCCATCCATCCATCCATCCATCCATCCATCCATCCATCCATCCATCCATCCATCCATCCATCCATCCATCCATCCATCCATCCATCCATCCATCCATCCATCCATCCATCCATCCATCCATCCATCCATCCATCCATCCATCCCATCCATCCATCCATCCATCCATCCATCCATCCATCCATCCATCCATCCATCCATCCATCCATCCATCCATCCATCCATCCATCCTCCCATCCATCCATCCATCCATCCATCCATCCATCCATCCATCCATCCATCCATCCATCCATCCATCCATCCATCCATCCATCCATCCATCCATCCATCCATCCATCCATCCATCCATCCATCCATCCATCCATCCATCCATCCATCCATCCATCCATCCATCCATCCATCCATCCATCCATCCATCCATCCATCCATCCATCCATCCATCCATCCATCCATCCATCCATCCCATCCATCCATCCATCCATCCATCCATCCATCCATCCATCCATCCATCCATCCATCCATCCATCCATCATCCATCCATCCATCCATCCATCCATCCATCCATCCATCCATCCATCCATCCATCCCATCCATCCATCCATCCATCCATCCATCCATCCATCCATCATCCATCCATCCATCCATCCATCCATCCATCCATCCATCCATCCATCCATCCATC